CATACCACCTCGTCCACATCACATAGCTCTCCTTCCCTTCCTTCACATCCCCTCCAACCTGTTCCCTTTCTTCCTCTCATCCAGTCATTACTCCCGTTCCAGTCGGCGGCCCCTCTCTCTCCCCGGCACATGCAGAGACAGCCATAAATGTCACATGGACCTAAATTTATTCACTGATCAGTACGAGAGCGATCAGCCCACGTTTTCCATCAAATCATAGAACACACTGCAGACGTCCTACACACTGCTCTGTGCATATATACTCTGTGTGTGTGTCTGTGTGTGTGTAGGGGACATGAGCCCGTATTGATATAATGAGATTGCATGCATGTCCTATGGGCAAAGCAAACATAAAATGGGGCTCAGCTGTGCAACAGTATCCTGACTGACAGAAAGTAATCATCCGACTGAAGGGGACCTTTCTCATTCCATGATAAAACCTGGCCTTCAACAATGAATGTCATCTGTGGAGCCTGTTGTATTTCCAGTGCAAGCCGGCATGGTAATAAACTGAATTGAGCATTTAAAAGAAGCCTTTTGGAAGACATTTATTTAAAGCACGTTCCTGGTAGTTAAAATAGAGCGGGGTTAAAGAACTATTACAGAGGAAGATGAAGCGGGCAGAGGTGTCCATGAGAAGTCGAGTGAATCGCTATGAGCTCCACAGCTGCTATTCTGTACCTGATCCTGACCTCTGACCATGTGGAGCAAAGCGAGTAAGACCGAGTGCATTACAGATAACTGCTGGTCAACCAAATAATCAGTGTCTTCACCAGCTTTTATGACAAATGTTTCCAGAGATATGCTGATGGTACCGAGACATCATTCATCGCTCACAAGCTGACTGATCTTAGTGTTTTGAAACCAGACGTGCTCTGCTATCTATTAAACCATTGTAGGATTCTACTAGAGCATCTTTAAAGGATTCACAGTTCGAAACAAGCTGTTTTACCTCTCCTTCCTTCAAGCCAACTTTCATCTGTAGCCCCTCACAAACAAAACTTTGGCCAGCAGGAGGGTGGTGCTTCTGTGTAATAACAAGAGCTGAGTTCCTGGACCTTACCATATAAATAAGCTTGAATTCCTTGTACATACTCAATATTTGGAACTTTGCCCATGTTTAATATGATCATCCACAGCTGAAATAGTGCATATATGACAAAAAGGTTCACTTTAAATAAATACAGACTGAGGCAAATTAAAACAAGCAAATGACGCACACTCTGTTAGACTTTTGCAAAGTGTCCTGACATCATAAGGGCTTGCATGGCTCTCCAGTTTTTAGAAGAAGCGGTTTTTGGCAGCACCACTCGCACCACCCCTATAGATCTGGATTCCTTGGCCCAGTATATCAAGCCAACTATCACAAAGCTAGGGGTCAAAGTGGACGCTGACCTCTAGCTTGACGTCAGGGCAGCTGGCTAAAATAAAAGCCAATTCTTTCTAGGCAACACTTTGACACAGTAATCCACACCGTTGTCACCACTCGGCTGGAGTAATGTAATGCACTTTATATGGGCGTTAGTGGTTCCTCCATCGCTCGTCTCCAGATGGTACAAAATGCTACTGCCGGTCTTTTAATTGGCACATGTGAATATGAGCACGTCTCCCTCCATTGGCTGCCCATTCCTTTTAGAATGAATTTATTTGCTAATAAAGCCCTCAGTGGTCTTGCCTCACCCTCCTTCTCTGAGCTACTATGTCCTTATGTCTCTTATCTAGTCTTCTGTACAGCACTTTAAAAACGACCCACAAGGAACCAAAGTGGTTTACAAATAAAGCTAATATTGTATGGTAGTAAGGCATTACTCAGTCCTCCCTGGAAATAATTCTCCATGTTTTTGGAAATATACTGAAAGGAGAGTGGAGAGCTTGGCCTAATATATCAGACCAGAATGAATGAATGAATGAATGAATGAACTAGGTTGCCAAAGGGTCCACTGGACATGCAGAATATAATTTTTAAAACGGAGGACAAAACTGACATTTTTGGACTTTCAGCACCAGGAAGCTTTAAGCTGCAAGTCATTGATAATGAGCCCATGAGAGTGGTAACACAACAGTTAATAATTTCATCCAAGCCAGAGGTCTGAACTACAGATGTTTCCAAAGTAAGCTGGTTATGCCAAGCAGCTCTGCTGGTCTGTTTCTTTGTAATGACAGTCGACTAACTGAATGTGGAAAAACTAAGCTGAAGTGTTGAAACTGACCGTATTTTATATTAACACATCTCAGCCTGTTTATCGTCTATTTAGTAAACAAATGATTCATCAAATGTGAACGTTTTTGGGACATATTAATATTTCCCTTCAGTAAAAGAAAGGGATATATTATTTTAAGTGTTTTCAGGATTCTACCTCTTTGTGACGAACTCAGCTGCCGCGTCCTTTCCACGGGCTATGTGTCTGTTTTCTTTATGAGTAATGCATGCCAACACATCTGTGTTTGTTACATAACAATCATCCTTTCCTCTGCATACCCAAAGACCAGGCGGACACAGACGTGAGGCTGTAAATTCCAATTTACACCAGACAGGTGGCCAATGACCTGCTGGATGTTAAGAGGTTAACACATCTCAATAGTTCAAATCAAAAGTTTTGTAAGTGGACGTTTGATTACATATAACAATAATCCAATAGTTTGGAAAAAAATTTTTTTGTTACTATTTAACTGTTTTTACTGTTCTTGCCCACCTGAGATCAAATTTAGTGTATGTCACCCACAAACTACAATGAGTTTGAACAAGTGGCCCCAATTTGTTACCGATCTGCATCTGTATGTAGCTTGTAATTATGCTGAAATAACTGCAGCCTGTATGTCTGATCCAAAGTAAATTTCTCTGTTGTTAAAGTGAAATGTTTCTTAGCTGCAACACAAAATGTTAAGCTGCTAAAAGCATGATCCATAAAACCAACCTCACATGAACTCTTTATTACCTAAATTAAATTAGTTGACCCGGTGGGAGCACTCTGGAAGGGGAAAAAAAGAGACTAATCCACATATAAATTGTCTCTGTATATGTATACCTCCTTTAACAACTAGTTTAACGCCCAATGTGTCTCCTTATTGCCTTCCAACTAAGTCAAACTAAAAAAATAAAAGCTGTTGTGAAAGCACGATGGGTGCTGCCTCTACAGTGGTTAGCGGGCCTGTGTTCCCTCTTGCCTCATTCCTCACTTATTACAGTAGTAGCGGATTCAATACCTTACATGGGTACAGACCACACAGCCTGCGGCCATGAAAGCACACACAGGACACCACACGTTGTAGTTAAAGAACTTCTTCTAAGCTTAAACATAACCAAGTGCTAAATATGTCGGCTCTCTGAAACTTCAGTGCGTAGTAGTAGTGACTTTTACTTTTTTGGAGGCTGTTCATAGAGTACAACGCTGTGTGCACATACTATAAAATGTGTCTGTAAGAGGGTTTAGTTCAGAAAACAGTGCATTCAGAGGAGCAGAAGAGTTGCTAGACTGTTAACTTTGTTAGCTGTTTACCTTCTTTGGCTTTTTTCCTTCTTACCAAAGTTCCACCAAGTTTCCCAAGGAAAGAGTCATCTTTCTTTCTGGAAGACGGAGATTTGGGCGTCGGAGACTTAGGAGACGAAGGGGACTTCTGAGGCGAAGAAGCCATGGCCGAAACGACAACTAAATCCGGGACAGTTAACTCAAAACTGTCCGAGTTGACGTGGAAATCAAAGTTTGTTAGAAAGTCAAAGTAAAAAAAAAAACTAAGGGAAAATCGCTGTCCACTCCCTAAAGCGGAAACGGAATTCCAGACATTTTCTCCCGAGGTTGGCTGGAGTGCGTGGCCCCTCCTCTGCGGAGGAGGGCTGGGAGCAGGCGGGAGGCTTCTGACCGCGGGAACAGGATCCAACTCGGTCTAGAGCTGTCCTGGGAGCAGCAGGAGGTGAAAATAGGAGGCAACAGAAATAGATGCAAAGGACCCTAAAAGTGACCTCGTTATAATTAAAGCCCTTTAATTTTTACTTGGGTTTTTTCTAGCTTCTCAAAGTTACCCAATAATAAACAAACAGGGCCATACCTAGAGGGGCGGACATGGGGTGTTACCAGCCCCTCCTGAAATATGACCCCCTCCCCCACCCCCCATAAGGACCTTTTTCTAAACTCTTTTTGTCTGATTAATTATTTTTTAAAAATCTTTTTATTCCACTCACTTTATTCTTTTGTTCAAGCCTCCAATTAAAGTTTCTTAGCGATGTCAAGTCCACTTTCTTTAAGAGTTGTCCGCTATACTGGATGGGGTACAACCACTGGTTCCTGTGTAGTCTCTTACTGGCTGACAGTGGTTCCTGGAGGTTGCTGCACCAAAAACCACCGTTGCTCATAGTTTTTACTAAATGCTAACAAGAAAACTTCAATTGAGGGGACGTGGTTGACCTTGAAAATAAAAGTTGGGTCTCAGCAGTGCAACCAGTGTGTTCCAAGACTGTTTGTGTTGCACTTTTTTATAGTTTCACTACAGCTTGGAGAGTAGCCGGCCAGTGTTTGTAGAACATTTCCATTTAAAGCACAACCACAGCAATATGCTAGCACCCACACCAATCACAAGTATGTTTTGTTAATAATATCAAGTGGCTGCCAGAGGGTCTGTAAGCCTCTGTGACTGGGGCTTTAGCAATTATTTTCCCAGCAACTGCCATCAAGCTCCAGCAACCACTCACAACAGGTAGGGGAATACTAATTTTTCCCTCATGACCGGTTGGGGACCAGTCTCTAAGCCTGTGTGGCTGGGGCCTTAATCACTTGATCCTACATCGTCACATGTTCAAAATGGCAGACAAGTTAACATCATGTGGTTAGTGGTCATGTGTCTGTAAAACCACAACAGCATTCCAGAAAGTTGTAGCATCAATGCCAAAGAAAACTGAGGCCCAACAGCTTTTTAAGACTGTTTATATGTCTTTATGTTGTTAAGCAGTAAGAAATAGGTTGCTTTTATAATCAACAGAGGAAGACAGAATAAAACAGTACCAAAAATCCAAAAATTCATTTTTATTTAAGATAATTTCATTTAAAAACACTCAAAGCAGCATTAAAATAAAACATGAAAGTTTTTTGCTAAAGAAAACCAAACTTACAGATATTTAATTTGCATTCATTTGTATTATAAACAAAATAACATTTAACGCCCGAGGACCGAGAGAATAGTATGGCAGTTTGCATCAGCATTAAAACTCATGTAAACACATTCATCTTTTCATGAGATGACAATTTGATGGCATTTTGACTCACAGCCCTTTACAGTGAATTGCAGACAGATTCACAGTAGTTAACAAAATGATGAATCCACTTTGGGCACGCTGCTTTCAGGATGTCACAGCTAGTGGTATGCCTTACTGGAGCAAGGCCAGAGATATCTGCAAGTTTCAACAAAAGTACATGAGAACTCCCACTCTGTGGACTTCCAGTTTTCCTACACGGCGGTTCAAAGATAGTCCAGAATGAGTGAAACTTTAGACCAAAAATTAAATTTTGTGGAGTGAAGATTTTTCCTCTTGACATTTTCTTTATGCTTGTGATAAAGGGGATCAAGAAGTGAGTAAATTTTTAGAATAGTCCTGATTTCAAATTGTAATAAATTACCTCTGTGTAACACTTGGGGACAACAAACAACATTCCAGCACTGACATTTGAATTTCACAGATGAAGCGAGCAACAGCAGCCGTTTCTAGCAGCAGTTTTCTGATACCAGTCGTCTTCCTCAACCACGATAACCATTTGATTCTTAAACACACAGAAAGTGAATCCCATGTTAAAATGTACATTTTTACAGCAATAAAAAAACTAAACAAAAATATCCGGTTACAGCCTCCTGTTTTGGTCTTCATAGAAGTTTCTTTAATTTAATACTAGAGAAGGTTGCAGCTGCTTGCATTGCCAGGTGTCCCAACACAGGAAGCTGCCGCCCATCTGTGTTTGCTGGGCTTTACCTTCTTTAGTTTAAGTCTCGGAACTGGACCTCCACAGTGTTTGTGCTGTCGGTGCCTTGCTTACAGGGTGGTGTAGTCTGTCCAAGAAGTTGGTGCTTTAGTTTTGGTGAGTGAAATTCAACCGTTGTATTTGTCTGTTACTTAGCACTAATTAGCTTCAAGTCTGACAATATTAGGCTAATGAATTCCCACTCCAAACAAGATCACGATCATTTTGGTTCCAAAAATTTACACAGTGGTACCAAAATGCTGATTTTGAGAATTCAACACGAGGAGTAAGCGGCCCATCCATTTTTATATACAGTCTATGCTTTTACCATTCACTGTGGACTGTCTTGCTACTGCTGTTTGCTGCTTTTTTAGCTGAGCTCCAGCCAACTGTACAATGAGACAAATAGGAATGGAACGGCTCCCCTAGATATCTGTGGTTTCAGTCTGTGCAGCAGCTCCATGGCAGATTCCATTTCTCTGGTGTTAATTAGTGCCTGAGCATACATAAATATATTTTATTTGATCCAAAGAAAAGTGAATAAATTTAAAATATGCACAAGAGTTTACAGTCACAAACAAGGCTGCACATAAAGTGACTCATAGTGAAATACTTAAAGCATTTTTCTGGTTTTATAACAACTCACGCTGTGCAAGAGTCTCCAGAAAAACTTTTGACTCCTTCCATGTGCTATCCAGTGAAGAGACAGTGTTACAGTAATAACCAGTCTGTCGCAACAAGTCCACTCTTATGGCTAGCAGCCACAAATAAGGCAGTTTGGTTTGTGATGAGTGCAGGCATTCAAGGCAGTGGCTCACATTATCAGAGGTGGTTAAGCATATCATACATCAAGTTTCAGGTCAGTATCAGCATGGGACATTGCAGTTACACTTCTGAGTGTTGAGAAAAGTTGGCAGAAAAGTTATTAACCCTCGTGGCTATACGGGAAGCCATTATCTAAGGGTCAATTTCTTTCTAACACGATCAAGTCTTACAATCTTTGTCAGTGTTTCAAGATTCCTTCAACATTTTTCAGACTTGTAGCTTTGCAAAAAAAAAGCCAAAAGCAAACTATTGTGGGAACCTGTTTTCCTTCTAATCTGTCCTCTTCAGAGTGAGATCCTCTGTTTTCAGCCATCACTCCTGCTTCTCTTGGCCCCAGCTATCATCCATGCGGGCCCAGTGGAACTCATAGCCCTTGGAGAGCACAAGGCTCTCGAGGTCCCTGTCCTCAGCCCTCTCCTTGAGCCTCTGCTCCTCCAGAATAGAGACCAACATGTCTCGTTTCTCCACTGTTCTCATGATCTCTGCGAGGATCACCTGTTCCTCCTGCAGCTCTGAGGCACTCTTCTTTGTATCTAAAAAGAGTAGGAGGAAGACAGAAATAAGAGCAAGCTATATTATATCAGACTGCAGCGCTGTGTGCTCAAGGCCGTACCCTCTACTGCCATTTTGCGTCGCAGATCCTGCTGCAGCCGACTCTGTGTGTCCTCCAGCTCCAGCTCCTGAGCGCTGAACACAGGAGAAAATAGTGAGACCTCTACATGTGAGAAAAGGGAATTGCTTTCATAATGCATTCGCTTACAAGATCATGAGTTCAGACTCATAGCGTGCCAATCTGTTCTTCTCTAGGACGAGCTTAAACCAGGACTGATAGAGCTGGGCCTCGTCACTGTCGTCCGTCTGAGGAGATTCTGTAAAAGGGAAAGAGGGAACGATGTAGGGAGGAAAAAAGAGGTTTGATAGGGATCAAAAAAGAAGAAAGACATTTCAGAATTTATATCAATTATTTAAAAACCACTGCAAGAACTTCAATGACATACACATCATGTCACAGGGTCATATACTATTCACAGGAACACAAACAGAAGCTTGTATTGTAGAAAGATGAAGCAACAATAAAGTCCCTAGTGTCTATTGTGAGCACAGCCATTACCGTATGTAGAGGCTTTTAACCAGACCAGGATTACAAGGCAGTGCTTTTCTCTAAATGGTCTGAGAAGTATGGGCAGTGCAATTAAACAGAACGAGAAGGAAAAAAAAGAATGAAGCTTTCACTGTGGAATTCCATTGAGCTGTAGAGTAGAGTGAATCAAGGTGTTATGGTACAGACTTCTGTCAAATAAAAGCAGCTACGCAATGCTGAGACTCACAGGTTTGTAAGGCACTGGTCTGAATGTACCTGTTTCTCCTCTTATGCTCTTTTCTATGGCCACTCCTCTCTCCTCCAGGTCCCTCTGCTTTTCTCCGACTTCCTCCAACTGTCTCTGGATCACCTGTGCAACGCAACAACGTCGCCGTATGACACATGTAGTTAGATGTGATCAAAGGAGATTAATCAACGGAGAAATCGTTCTTTGAAATTTCTGCTTTCCCCTCCATACAAAGGATCTAAATTGATTTGTGGTGTTCACAAATAAAATTAGCCCTTCTTTCTCTGAAGTGTCCTTGTTATTCTGGGTAATTCTGAGAACTTGTAATGAACAAGTTTAAAGGCCTCATTTCTTTTATAGAAAACACTGCCGTTCTTTTTTTTTTTTTTTTTTTTTTTTTAAATGCAATTTTTCAATTCTGTGAGCACTACAAACAATGTTCCATTTGCCATCCTTGTAATGGGGTTTTCGAAGAAATCTCAGAGACTGATATCAGCAGGGACCGTCTGCAGGGAAAGGAATATTGTGACATTCTTTGGGAAATAAACAAGGATAACAAACTGAAGGAAAAACCTGAAGCACCGACTCTTACAGTGAGGAGTGCTTCTGTTTGTGAAAGGTCACTGCAAATAAACATTAAGCTGGTCATTTTTATCCTTTGATGAAACATTTCCGTCACGGTGGGAGTAGCCTTTTCCCGGGTGATGATGCCCTCATCCATAGGGCAAACAGACTCCCTGAAAGGTTTGATGGAGAATGGAAATGATGTTTGGGGGGACGTGTTAGACAGCAGTCTTCCCCACTATAATAATAATAATAATAGTAATAATAATAATAATAATAATAATAATAATAGTAATAATAATAATAATAATAATAATAATGGATTGCATTTATATAGCGCTTTTCTAGAAAAGCGCATCCGTGTGGTAGAGCTCAGGAGACGTGAAGAATCACTGCCAGCAAACATTGACGTCTGGTGTCACATGGTGGCCCACTACCTTATTAACATATGTTATATTGATTTTTTTTCCCCAATTTGTTCATGCCTGAGTCCTTTTATATAATCAGATGCATATATATATAAATACTCAAATAGCATCATTATTAAATTCCTTTAGAGCGGCTCCATTTGTTACTAGTCAAAGCATTTTTCCATAGCCTGCCCTGTTTTATTCCTTTTCATTCTTTATGGCCAAGAACCAGCTGGTGTCATATGTGAAATGAGAAAATCCTAATAAATACCACACCCAACCACCTGAAAACTGGTTGAATGCGAGCTCTAATTATTTCTTCTCATGGTTGGATTGATGGGGATTTTGTCACAACTGATTGGATTGTGAATGCAGAAAAGTGCCATCAAATTTTGATCCACCGTGCAATGCCATCTGAAAACATCTGATTAGCAACAGCTTTGGGTTTCAGCATGACAATGGTCCCAAACACACTGGCAAAGCAGTCAAAGCATGTTGGGACAGAAGAACATACAACAGAACACCACGAGTCATGGATGGGCCTCCCCACAGCCCGGATCTCAACACTATCAGAACCTAACATATTACTTATGTTAGGGGGAAACTGGCACGGGGTATTGCCGTCCTGGGGAAAACAAAGCAAATCTTGGATCAGAAAGCACTGCACATATTATACTGTGCTTTACTACTACCATATATGAGCTATTGTGTAGAGGTCTGGGGGAAACACATAAAAAAGTAATACACAACCAATAACCATAACGCAGAAAAGAGTCATTAGATTAATAAATAATGCAGGGTACAGGGACCATACAAATGCACTCTTTATCAAAATGCAAGCCATAGAATTTCAGGACTTGGTGAAGTTTAAAACAGCACAAATAATATATAAAGCAAGAAACAAAATGCTTCCAAAAGAAATGCGTAAATTGTTTATAGAAAGACGAGGGGGGAGGAAATGGAATTTAAAAATACAAAGTGCTAGAACAACTTTAAAAAGTATGTCTATCTCAATAGTGAAGAAAGTAACAACATAAACCAGTTTAAAATAAAATATAAAAAAAAAAACTCATTTTAAACAAATATAAGAATGAAGAAAACGGGGTTGACCCAGGACAGTAACTGAAGTGATGTTTTGGTTTATTGTGAATCTGCTAATTTACATATTCTGTCTTTTATTATATGAAAGAAACTATATTATGATGATTTGTGTTTTGTTTTTCTTTTGTTTCATTGTTTGTTTGATTTAAGACTAAAAGAAAACTAAATGAATGAGATGAAAAATTTGTGGGGGTAGGGACTAATAAGTGTATACTTCTGTTTACTCCTTTTCAAACAAAAGAATGGAATGATATCACGAAATGATGGTGAATGTACACGTTTGAAATAAAAATGAACTGAACTATTCAAGCAGTTCTAACGGTGAGGTCTGAATCCTCTGGACAGAAATTGGGACTGGGACTATACAATGAAGACTATAGAAAAAGCTGCCAAAGAGATTTAAGACTGTGTTGATGATACAGGCAGTCATACCAAATATTGATTATCAAGCTCAAAAGAACTGCACAGAATCCGTTTTAGACTTTATATTTCTTTGTATGTTTTCACATGTTTAAATAAAATCAATGCACCTACTTATTATAAAATTAATAAGAAACGAGGGGTGGCTCAACATTTTTGCACAGCACTAAAGATATAAATGTGCTCATAGACATAAATTAACTTTTGACTACAGCAGAAAGTTGAAACATAATAACACCTCTCTGTTAAAGTCATAACTGCTAGATATTCAGTGTCATCAGTGTGGGCATACTCTCAGATAAAAACATCGTGGATCTTTTTGCGCGAGCAGCAAACCTTTGTACTGTAAAAGCATCAGGTAAATGTAAAATGTATAACTATGACTGGTAGCAAAAAGCTCTTCAGTCAGGGGTTTTTACATTTTTGTCAGGTCAGACCAATGCACAGCTTTCCAGCACAAATCTCTCTATTAACCACAGACTGAATTTAAAAGGAAATTACGATACCTGAGCTCTGTGAAGCCTCTTTAGCTGTTCTCGTTTAGCCTGTTGGGCCACTGTCTTTTCCTGCTTCCTCCTCAGTTTCTCTGAATGCAGCTGGGACAGGAAGCGTGGAACATTTCACAAAATGTACACATGGAAAAAACCAAAAAACAAACCCAGTACACGCGGGAATAACTGGAATGTGCCGTGTCTCACTCAACAGGAATGTACAAACCTTCTGACTGGATACCAGGTTTTCATTTTCATCATCACTTGAGGAGGGCTCCTCCAAATTCTGCTGACTGGATGCTGGATATGTAAGAGTGAAAAGTTAAAAAGTGAGGATAATTAGAAACTCTTAGCATTTTAGATTTGCAAGAGGAAAAAAAAAGAGCCTTTTTGGATTATACAGATAAACTTTAAAAGTCAGCATGAAATTTTACTATGATAATCCCATGGACGAAAAATTCTTCTAGGTGTTCAGAAGCCTGCACTCCAAAACACAAAAAATTGGCTCCAAAAAGTATGGAAACCACACAAGCATGAAGCAAATAAGCAATAAAGGGGGCCAAAAACCTCTTCCTTCTTTTCAGCAGTGGATACTGAAATTAAACATGGCAAGACTTTTAAATAAGGAGGCTTGAGATTGCTCTAAACCCTCAATTTCAGATGGCTTTCTCTATTGCTGGAGCTGTACAACACAGAGCAGAGGAGCTTAACGTGGTCATCTCAGGCACACAGCTCTGAGTGTGGGCAGTAAACCCCACCCGCCCGCTGTTTGAGCCTTCTGTCTATGAGGGGCAGCCAATTACAAGAAAGCTAGCCTAAATGGAGGGTGGTATTAAAGGAAAAGGTGCTAAAGGCTTGTTTCACACAGTGGATGACCAGATGGGCTACACTAAGGGCTAGGGTGTGCAAATCATGCAAAACTACTTTTATTACACCCAGTAGAGAAATCAGAGACCTAAAAATGAGGAGAATAGATCCCCTTTAAACCTCAAAAACACACGTTTAGTAAAACAAGGTCCTTTGATTCTGTCTGGAGGGTTTTGTTTAGTTCACTTCTCTGATCATCAGACATTATTGCAGTTGCAGCTGCCCACTGACCTGAGTTAAAGTGCGGAACTTGTAAATTGGATCAAGCTAAAGGCAAAAAATCCAGAGGATTTAAAGCACTGTTACAAACAAGCTTCGGAGTCCCTACACTAACCTTTGTTTCTGAGGTTAGAGAGGATGTTTGTGATTTCCTTTTGAACCTCCTGGTCTTTCCCTTCACTCCCAGACAATTCCCTCTTCCTCAGCCTCAAGGAAGAGAACAAGTTGACCCTTTTGCGTGCAAATGGGCCAATGTCATCAGCGAACACCTCTCCAGAGTCTTTACGGCCCTTTAAGGACACCTGCTGCAACAGGGAAGGCAGGTCCTGCCCCGCCCCCCATGGATCTGCCCAATGAGCTTCACGCATGCTGGCCTGGTCCTCTCGGGATGACTCTGGCGCTATGGCACTGAAGCGTGAGCTAAAGCTAAACGCTCCCTCGGACATGGGTCGCCGTTTGCGGGGACCGTCGTGTTTAGGTCTCCTGTTAAAGCAGAGGAAAAGTATCAGAATTTAATCTGATTTGAAGCCCATAGAGAGCAGTAGAGAAGACAGCTTGGTTTATATAACAGCAAACTATGAGCCAAGTATTTTATACATTATGACTGCAGTGTTGGAGCTGCTGAGTTGATTGGTCCCGCTAAATGTCCTCCTGAAGGCGTTGGCTATAGCCTGGAAGGCTGAGGGGGATGAAGCTGAAGTTTGGCTCGGGGAAGCCTCCCCGCTCTGGATCGAGTTTCTCCGAGGCTCATCTAGTTGTGCCTCTGCCTGTACCTGATAAAACATGAGAGGAGAGGATAAATGTATTCAATATAATGTAGGATTAATTCCTCTTATATCTCTCACATCACTGTCCGTGAGCCATTCTACATAGCATAGAAGGAAAAGATGAGAAAACTATCTTTCATATCCAGGCTCATCTTCTCTCAGGTTAATAAACAGATCAAATCTCCACCTGGTCCTTATGTTGTGGTGCGTTTTCGGTGGTTGTGCTAACGGGAGTTCCCTCTGGGTTGACCTCCACGTCCCAGTTCAGAAGCTTCTCTTTGGCAGAAAAGGACAAGGCCAAGCGTTTCCTTGGCGTAGATGTTCTGCAGACGGCCGAGCGCTCCTCACTCGTCTCATTTACCTCTGGAGGATTCAGGGTATCCACTGAGGTTTTGGAACTGCTGTCCGAGTGCTGAAAGAAGAGCAGAAAATAGTCTTTTTTGTTCACACTGTGCAACGTCAATGAATTACACAGACACCCTTGCTCTTAGTTATATTCCTTAAAAACAAGACCGTTCTGTATCCAGTGAATGTAAATTAGTCATAACATACAGGTTGTTTTTCTGCTGAAGTGATCTCCTCATAGTCAGAGTCGGCTTCAGGGACGGTATCAGGTCCGTCTTTGTCCAGCTGTGAGCTTTTGGGATAGCGCTTGATGAAAAGCAGAGGGAAGGCTACATAAAGAGACACAACAGGGAACATTTTACAACAAAAAAAATATGCAAATACTGCAACCATTTTTCTGTTACCCAGCAACTATTAATTTACCTGAATATAATACAGGCACGAAACACTGTCTTTTTTCTTTTAGGTTCAGCATGCAAATGGAAAATGTGAAACACATCAGACATCAAAACTTCAGCTTCACATTACTTCTTACATCTTTAAAATGTGAATGATGCCACTGAAGTGACTGACACAATTCAACAGGGTTCTTACAGCTTAATGCAAGTTGTATGAATTTTAACACCAACTTTACAATATCCAGAATTAAAGGGAAGACGTGCACCAGGTGGCAGCTCTGAAATAAAGCCACTGTTAGCATCCACAATAAGCAGATCCGAGGTAGTGTGCTAATCCAAAATGGCTGATGTTTTGGCTTTCTTATCTGAAATGTATGCAAACGTATGTGCATCCTATGGGATTCCACTGCAAAGATTTCCACTGTGCACTTAATACAGCACACCTCTTAAAGAGTGGCTGGTACCACTTCAGTCATGCAGCAAAAACTTGGTTCAAAGCGCAATTTTCTTTCAATCTGTGCAGTCAGTACAATATGATAAATTGACCTGCATTTACACAACGCTTTAATCCTAGTCGCTCACACACTGAAGGGCACACGAGGGGCAGTTTGGGGTTCAGTATCTTTTCTAATGACAATCCTTGGAAAAGATCTTGAATAATCAGACCCCAACTTATCTTAAAGACCTCATATCACCCCAATAGAGCACTTTGCTCTCAGACTGCTCTATTGGGGTGATAAGACTGTTGGCTTACTTGCGGTTCCTAAATTTTTTAAAAGTAGAATGGGAGGCAGAACCTTCAGCTTTCAGGCCCCTCTTCTGTGAAACCAGCTCCCAGTTTGGATTGGGGAGACAAACACCCTCTCTACTTGTAAGATTAGCCTTTAATCTTTCTTTTTTGATAAAGCATATAGTTAGAGCTGGACCAGGTGACTCTGAATCCTCCCTTAGTTATGGGCTGCTGGGGGACTTCCATGATGCACTGAGTGTTTCTTCTTCACTCCCTATGTGTTTACATGCCACTCTACATTTAATCATTAGTTATTATTAATCTCTGGCTCTCTTCCACAGTGTCTTTTATCTTGCCTCCCTCGCTCAGCCACAACCGGTTGTGCCAGATGGCCGTCCCTCCCTGAGCCTGGTTCTGCCAGAGGTTTCTTCCTGTTAAAAGAGAGGTGTTTTTTTTCCCCCACTGTCGCCAAGGGCTTGCTCATAGGGGGTCATCTGATTGTTGTGGTCTTTACCTTACAATATAAAGCACCTTAGATGACTGCTGTTGTGATTTGGTGCTATATATTATTAAAATTGAATTGAATGGAATAGAGTAATATTTAGCTTTGTCCAACTCACAGCCAGTCAGTAAATCATTTCAAACCAGTTAGTTTTAAATTTTAAAAGTCCAGTGTCTGACAAAAGTATGCTAAGATATCACAATTCAATTGAAAGATTGATTTAAGAGATTTAACACAAAGTAAGCCCCTTGTTTCTGTTAAGACCTTTTCGTAAATGTGACAAATGAAAATACCTGCTGCAAGTTATTTTTAGAAACCTGTATCTTAGGGTTCGCTAACTAACGACAGATTAATGAGTACAAGTGTAGGTGTGTAGTCTTCAAAAGCAGTGTGAGCCAAACCACCTTGAAACAGGTGGCAGATTGAATAATGCTAAAAATATATGTATGAACTGTAAGCAGCCATAACCACAAAAAAAAAAAATTATCAACCTGACACATAAAGAAGGAAAACTTTTTGTTTTCTGAGGATTTGTCAGTCATGGCTGCAGTTAGGAGGAGGAATACTGTCTGTCCATCACGTCACAGGAATCAAATCACTCTGCAGAAAACAACAAACAGCCCAGAACACTACAAAGTTGGGAAACAGTGACCTCTAGTGTTGAATACATTGGATGACAGTTTATCAACTACATAAAAACCACAAGCCTACAGTAACTGTAATTGGGCACTTTCCCCACTAACATCTGGTTTGTCACATCACGTTATTTGTGCACAGATATTGTAGAGTGAAATGTTTTATCAGTAACAGCCTGCACTGTAAAAACAACTAAGTAAAGTCTCACAACCAAACTATTAATAGCTGTCAGACAAGAAACAAGTTTTCGGTTCTCATTGAAACGATGACGACAACAACAGGAAGATTGATGATGATGGCAGAGGCAAGACCGGAGTGAAAATCTGAGCTACTCACTTGCTCGAATCTTCCGCTTCCATCTGTTGTGTTTGTGTTTGGGGTTACAGTGATCTGCAAAACAAGGGAAGAATTTCTATAAGTTGCAAAGGTTAACATTAAGCAGAAATGAATTAAACACAGAAAAAATGAAATGAAGGCTGATTAAGTGAATGTGGGGAATGCTGTCAGGTAAGAATTTGGTGTGGAACAGATCAGGTGTGGGTCACATGAAAAAGCTCATCTCACCAGGTAAGAAAAAGAACATTTTAATAATAATGTGCGACATTTTTGAAAAAGTTGGAATATGGTGTGAAATGTAAATCCAAACAGAATGCAATAATGTGAAACTAATTTAAAGGCGTATTTCACAGAAAATAGCACAAAGGTAATATATGACATACCATTTGTAAAATATGTGATATTTTAAATTTGAAGCTAGCAACGTGCTTCTAAAAAGCTGGGAAGAGCTTTTTCATGCATTCCTGCAACCCTTTGGTTTGCTGTAAAGGAAACACATTTTGCTTCCTTTCTTTATTTTAACAAAGAGCTTCTTAAACAGGTGGAAAAATATCCATTAGAAGTGGTAATAAATGGATTTGAGTGATATCTCAAGCACATCTCATGTTGCAGGTGTTACTTGTCCTATTTAAATAGGGAAGAATAGCGAAATTGAGATGTTCTGTATTCTGCTTTAGAATCTCTTACTGGATAAGAGGAGATACTCTGCGAATACTAAGAACCTCAGCTTTGAGAGTTTGCAATGTTCATGTGGAGAAATCTATGTAGACCAGAGAAGAGAGGTTATATTTCAAAAGGTACAGATTGCTCAGTGACACTTGATGAGCTGCACATTTAAAGATTGCACACAATGTCATCCTTTTTATTCACGTGTTGGATCTGTATATGATGCGTTTTGATAAATTATGTTTTTTCATATTGTGAAATGTCCTGCGAAACAAACTAAGCACACCAACGTTATGTTATTCAAACGTCGCATGAAAGTTCTGGGAAGTTTTGTGCAGGTAAACAGCTTAGTTTGCAGGACTGTGGTGAGTTCGCAGTAAAGCCCTGTGTTGGACTGGTAAGGTCAGAGTGTTGGGTTACATCAAGTGTAGCACAGATTCATTTACATTTAAGTTGATGATGCTTGGATTCATTCACTGAACTCAGTCGTTATAACAACTTAACGTCTGGTGTAAAGACAATAAAATGGAACAGAACTGAAACATCTGCTTACATCTGGTTGAATTCAGTTGTGTAAATCCACAAAGAGTGTCTGCACTCACGTAATAATATTATATTGTATTATATTAAAAAAAGCAGAAAGTCCAGTTCCTGTGTCCTTTTTCACTTTTACTTGAGCAACAAAGTTGAACCAGTGCTTTAACTTTTACTGGAGTATTTTTCAACACACTTCTACTCACAGTATGTCTGTACTTTTCCACCCCTGATGTGGACAGACTGTTACAGTGGTGTGGGACAAAAACTATAAAATCAGTCACACCCCTGTCTCCCACACATAACCGGAGGAGGGTCTCCAACACAAACAAAGTAAAGTCACGAGTTAGAGTTCAGCCAGTTTGAGATTCTCCCTCAGGGAATATCATGCTATGAATGAAACAACAAACATAAACTTTGGGGATTTAAAAAGCCATCCGAGCAACTGGAAATCGTTGTTTTTCCTCCAGCCTACCATCCTCATTTCTTCAAAAAAAAGAAAATCGCACTGACCTTTGGAAGAGTCCTGGCTTTGACCTTTTGCTGCGGCGGTATCTTGCGTTTTGGATTTTACTAAACAGGAAGCATCGTGAGCTTCCACTGCCACATCCACATCGTCGGGAACTTTTTTATCAAGCGGTTCAGAGAGTGAACTGGAGGCCTCGTCTGCAAGTAACAACAGTATGCAGCCATTACATTCAAGTTCGTGTTAAACTAATCAGCGGTGCAATGTTATTAAACAGCGCGTTTCATGCCTGTGATCTTAAGAACAGACTTAAGAACTTCAGCACAAAAAAGTTGACAGTTACAAGAACTGAACTACTAGTCCTGCATCTCAAAGTAAAGATGCTAGGCGCTAATTAAGCATTGCAAAATTAAACAGAACTATTCTTAAATTCAAGAATTTAATCTGAAGCATATTTTGGCTTCTTAGGGACACAGAAGCTGTTTAAACACACAGAGTGAGACGAGTTCAGTCAGACAACCAGAAATGTGCTGCTTCACGCGCACACGACTGGTTTGTTTAAGCTGCATTTTCCCATCTCTCCCCAATTTCTACATGCAAAATATCTACATGGACTGTTGAGCTCGAAGCTTGAACGACTAACTACACAGTGCTGCTGTAAGAAGTAAAAGGTAAAGGTGAGTGGTCTGACTGAACTGCAACTTCACAGAAAATCTTCATTTCCATACAGGCATAGATAAAATACACAGTCACATATTCATGAGTACTCACAGAGTAACGAAGTCAACATTGTACAGAAGGGGATTCCACTTGGTAACAGCAAAGAAATGAAAAGATGTCGGTATAACCACAGGTATAAATGGGCCCCTAGGTATTTTTCTTATTTTTAACACTGATGGCACCAGTTATCCATTTTTGGTTTGGCTCAAAAAATTTACTTGAAAGGTTTGGGATCAAGTGAAAGTGAAACAATAATAATAATAATTTAAAAAACAAAAAACAAAAAACCTTTAAAGCTAGGATTCAGAGATGTCAAATTTGAAGGAAAGGACAGAGAAGACCCGCTAGCAGAACCCATGAGAAAGCTAACAGAAGATTCACTTCAATTCTGTTTAGGTCTTGAGCTTTTTCCAATTATATGCAAGCTTTTGCATGAACCTTGTTCTTCCTTGTTTGCCTTTACAGTTATTATTGTTATTAATAGCCAGCATTTTTTGTCACCTTCTCAAAAAGCTCAAGTTAATGGTTAACAAAAGCTGTGATCGTGAACATGATTTGTGTGGGTGATGTTAGCATAAAAGAAAAAAAGATTTCCTATAAAAGAAGTTGTTTGTTTTTAATTTAACTGCTCAATTATGAGACAACCCCTGTTCAACTGTAACAACAAATGATGACGCGAGTAATTTATGCAATCAAACTGATTTATTTTGAAATATATTTACAGCTTATAAATATCATAAATTAGCATTTTTACAGGAATTCTCAATGTGGAAAAAATAAGGCTGGAAGGCTGCGTTGAGATAACATAACTGCGTAACACAGACAGTAGCCACAAGAAGGTCTGTGGCAGTGTGCAAAAAAACCAAAAAGCTGCTACTGGGCTGCTTCACTCCTGAGCAAAGACTAGGAGGTACATGAGAGGGACCTGGAGAGGGGCTCTGAGGGGGGGAGGCTTCCTTCTGAAACAGAGGGAACCACAGACAGACCACAGACATGTGGACACGTGTTACCGTCGAACGGGCCTAAGAAGAAGGGAGGCTGCTGCTGTGTTAGAGAACAAATCAATCCAGGGGCATTCACGTCGGTGCTTGGTGTTAGAGGAGTGAGGGACAAGCAGAGCACAACATGAGCATTACGAGGGTTAGCCTGCGCAAACTGGTTAAAAAAAAGGTGCTACATATGCATCCGTTAACCATAAGATTATGAAGTTTAATCCAAGGTTTTTAAAAATAGTGGACCTGCAACATTAACCTTTATATGTCCCTTCCCTTAGGTGAACAAATCCAATTAAACCACTAAAAAATAAAAAGGTTAAATTAGATATTTCTATGTATCCAAAGTTTAAATACTTCAAAGAGCAGGTAGGAGCCTGTGTCAAACTGATACAGTCGGCCAATATCAGCCATTAATCCTGAAGCTCCACCAGTACTGGTGTCTGTTGTGTTGCATTATCATATGAGCTTTGGTATCATCACACAGTGATCTGCTCTCTCTGCACCGTTTGAAATTTCTCTCAACACTTTGTGCAGCACATGTAGCACCACGGCTGAGCAGAGAGTCAATCGCCATGTTTCAGTTCAATTTCTGCCTCATTTGTGAAGTACAGTGGTAGAAAGTTGAACAATGGCCCAGCACATTTAATGGGGACCAAACATCGGACACAAAAATCCACCACTGGTTTAACTCTTATATTTATATTGGTCAATAGAAGGCTACATTAAGTTAGCTTATTTCATCTGTAGGCTCTGTGAAGAGAATCCCTACAAATGTTGTTGGTCAGCTGACGTCAAACCAATAGCGCCATCCCTAGATCCATAGACTGTATATAAATGATGAAAGCATTTTGTAAAGCCTCAAACTGAACATTTTTAGCACCTTTTTAAAACCAGAGTTCACAAGCAGAGGGTGGCACTGCACAGCCTGCTAGTTCTGGACACTAAAATATGCAAGATGATCAAACGTCTTTAGTGAGACTTGAAACTGGTGACAATGACCAAAAAAAAGAAATGTATCAGGAAAGTATTTACGAAGGGATCGATCAACGGAGGACTATTTTCCATATTTCTATACAGCTGGACATGTTTTTGACCCCCTGCTGGTCATTCGAATTAATACTGGTTTATTACCATTTCACATTTGTTTCACTTTGCAAGCTCCATCTTTTATATACAGTCTATGCACGGGCCAAACCGCTAGCATGGCTAAAAAGAAAAGCTAATTTCAGTTTGATGCACAGTTTAGATACCAAAGAACTGAAGATAATGGCAGCTTCATCCTTTCATGTAAGTATTCTTGGCGAGTTGTTTGCATGATACTGTTCATTGCATAATATTTAATATAGTATTTAACATACCACAAAGCTGCACGTAACACCTTTATCAACTATAGCATGCGATACGTGTGGTTCATGCTGGTTACTCTGGGTTACACAGAGACAGTACAGAGCTACGAAAGCAGACAAGCTCTTATGGCCAAAGCCAGCCAATCGTCACCTTCACAGGACTCAGCCAATCAGAGGGTGCAGCATTGGAAACTTGAACGGACTGAACAAAATGAAGTGAATGAGACAGAGGAAATGAATTTGGGAGGGGGAGAAAAAAGGAGACAGATAAGATAAAGGAGAATGAATGGAAAGATGGAAAAAATGCACAATATAGTGAGAATTACAGGAAATGGTACAATCAGCACTGAAATTCTCACGTTACGATATTAAGCACTGAATACACCTTAGGTATCATTAACAAAACAGAATATAACAAATAAGGCTCACATTTCACAAAATAAAAGCGCTACATTGTTGCAAAGCTAAAAACAAAGTGAACATTTTCACTGAGTCAAGAACTTCAGTAGGTTTGGATTCAATGACTTTGGCCAACAGGGAGGCCGAAAGAAAAAAAAAAACAAAAAAAACAAAAAAAAAAAAAAAAAAACAGTCTGAAATGATCATTATATAAAGAGTCTTTTTTTGTTCTCGTTTTATTTTTTAAGAAAAAGCAATAATGTGCTTTTGAGTTAATTTTATAACCCAATGCAAGAAAATACTGCAAAAAACCCCAACACAGAGTGGGTGCTCTCGTGACAATTAGAAAACAGAAGTAAAAAATTAGATGAATCGTCACCCAAAGAGAGAAACGTAAATGATTAAATTTTTTTTTTAAATAATTTGAATTCCATCCATATTTTTAAAATGATTTTTAACAGAAAACAATACAATAAATAATGAATCCTGAATAAATAAAGGGACATCGGTGAATTACCTTTAAGAAAATACACAAAGTGAAATACTTTGAGATAAAAAAAAAAAGAAAAAAGATATACAAAAATGAAAAGCACTTCCTGAAAAATGTATTTATTATAAAAAAAATAAAAAATAAAAAAAAAAGAGAAGAAAAGTTTGGTATTACTATTGCACACTCTGGTGTTGCAGCGTTACGGGGCAGCAGGCAGAGTGCAGACACCACAATTACTGGTTTAGTCCACTGAGAAAAACCAACACTCAGTCCCGATGGCTTAAAAAGATTGAAGCAGAGAGCGTGTTCCAGGTCACTCTAGTGCAATTACTATAATACTGACGATATATTAACTAATCAGATTCTTGTTTAGAGTGTCTTGCGGTCTGGGTTGGACATTTCTGTGACAGCCCAGTGGGTAAAAATCTGCCTGGAACAAACCCATGTGAGTCAGAGAAGGTTACAACACCAGGAGAGCCTGATGGTCAACAAGCATGTACCAAAAGAACCCGGGTAGAGCGCTCAACATGGCGTCCTGCTTCATAAATTACTGATGGCTTCAAAAACACAAGACTAAAATGAAATGAAATGATGGAAAGCATTGCACATTTGACGCCTTTTTGGGAAATGCAAAAGAAAAAGAAATCCATCTGGGCTCCTATCTGGCCACCTGGCTCCATGACCCCCCCGTTAGTCTCCCTCCTAAGTGAGCTGGTGGCCGACGAGATGCTGCTGGGCCATCTGGGGCTCCTGGTAGATCTGTCCCAACACCTCATGCATCATGTAGAGCAGAGGACAGCCCAGGCTCAGCAGCTCAAACAGCAACACATAGTCATGCCAGTAGCTCCTTACGTGCGACCCCACAGCTGAGAAAGACTCACACACACTTCCCAACAGCTGTTGAGGCAACACACACACAGCCCGGCTAGCACGCCTCGGCAGGCTCAAGCCTCGCCTAAGCAAGGAAACCAGGGTACCTGGGGGTTGCAGCTGGGTGCTGCCCGTGGTGGCGGTGGTGTAGCTCCCGCCGTCCATGGACGAGGGTGCGACACGACTTTGGGGTTCCTGTACAAAAACAACACACAGAGAAAGAACTCAGAAACGCAACACACTCTTCTAAAACAACAACAGGGAACTTTTCAACAAGAAGATTTAGACAACCACACAAGTTTACTCCACTAAAACTACCGTTTCACACCGATGCTCTAACACTGCTATTCTTTTCATGCTGAATATAGGGTAATCCAGAATTAGAGTATGGAGGACAGATACCCACACTGAAGGTTTGATTGTATCCTTTAAGCAGGGTGGAATGCCATCCCATAATAATAGGTACTCGTTCATATGAATAACAGTGAAGAAAACCGTCTGAAGGTTCTCAGTCATCCAGGTCATCGTACTCTAAAAAGCGTCTGGACTTTTTCCTTGTTTCCTTGAAGAAGCTTCTTCAGTTCTAAGAGTAATTGGTGGAGAGTCTCAAGCCCTATGGGAGTGTCCCCAGGAGGGTCATGAACCCCCTATTGATCCTCTACCTAAAATATCCAAATGTCCAAAATGTGAACATTAGCATCCTCTTTAGAGGAAAGTGTGAAAGAAGCCATCTATGTCCACCGTGAATGACCATCTTTGAACAGAGGCGGTGGCTTACGACACCAAGTGTCTGTCATCTATAATCCAGGTTTGAGATCCTTCCCAGACACCTTAACGCCAACTCACATCCTGGGCCATTTGACCACAGGAAATCACATCATAGGGCGGGGCTAGGCTTCACATTGGGTTCACCTGAAACCTTGGCCGATTGCGACCCACACATGTTTTCACACCTTGGCTCGTGTGATTAGGTAGAGGATCAATAGGGGGTCCATGTCCCTCTTGGGGACACTCCCGTAGAGTTTAAAATGTGGGACTCTCCATTGCTCTTAGAACTTCTCGGATGAGAGGTGAAACTTCTTCAAGGAAACTTGGAAGTCCAGACGCTTTTCTTTCCAAGCTCCTTATAAAAGAGGTTAACATGAAACATTTCCTTTGTGCTATAAAAGAAGATCTTTTCTAAAAGCTAGCTAATAGAACTGAACAGTGATATTACATATGGATATTACATTGTGTAATAAACATTTACTTTGTAATAAGTAAATGTTGGGTTCCTTACCATTCTCCTCCTAACTCTTCCTGGGTTATTGCTGTACAGGCGCTGTGCATAATGCAGCTTGCAGTAGAATTTAGCTGTACAGAAAGCAGAAAAAAAAAAATATTTTGAAGTGACGTCTCCTACAGGTTTTAAAGGCAAGTCCAGCAAATGCAACGTACCCTCCTGTGAGTCAAATGTGTGTCCTCCCAGGCGGAGAGTGCAGTTGCAAGCGTCGCAGCGGAAACACTCTCGGTGGAAGAAGTAGCCCTCGGCGCTGAGTCTCTCCATCACGTACACCCGCTTGGAGCAGAAGTGGCAGATGTCGCTGCCGCCCAACCCGGGAGGGAAGTCCTTACGCACCACACACTGAGAGGAAGAAGGCCAGCATAGGGTTAGATTTTTGAAAGATTCTTTCAAGCAAGCTTTTAGGACCGTTTTCTTCCAAGAGACACCTGAGGAGGGGAAGAAAAAGAACCCCCAAACAAAAACACACATATCAGGAGCAAACAGCCAGATTGCAGCATAAAGAAACTGTCAAAGCTGCAAAGCTGGTCACAATCACAGAAAGTGTTGCTCTTGATAGCTGTAAAGTTGCTGAAGCAGTATATGAAAGTTTTTAGGGACACAGTATAATTTTGTGCAAGAGTCAATAACAAGAATAAAAAATAAAACAACCACTTCCAGTTCACAGGAACAGTCTGGATACTTATTCTCAGGCGATATTACAGGACTGTAAAAAGAGCAGAAGATTCATGGACGTTTAGACCTGCTCCAGGCCTGTGTATGTGTCAAAGCAGGGACGCAAGTACAGTCATTTTTTGTTAGTTATGAAAGATGCTGTTAAAGAGAACTTCACCAATTTAACATTTTATTATTTGTTTAGTTGTCATAAAGGTTCTAAGTCCTGTACCAGAACCAGAGAGGACATCCTGCCTACATCACCCAAAATGCATCTTACACCCGTGATTATGGCGTACACATTTCCCATCAGTTCATGAATATTAGTATCTGGAGTGTTTGCTGTGATGAAATAGTATTAAATTGAATACAAGCTGCAGTTTTAAATGAACCCCGGCAACACAGACAAAAAAAGACTCGGGGCTAAAGCCACATGCATCTTACCGGTGGAGCACTGGGCCTGTGGTCTGTCTCATAGAGGATGGCCAGTATCTGAGCTTTAGCATCTATGGCTGATGATACCTTTCCAACTGTACGCTAACATTAATGACAGGTGAAGAGGACGGGAGGACAAAAAGACGAGAAGGGGAAAAAAGAAGGAAAAAGGGTGAAAGTTTGGGAATCAGACAGGAATTATCAAGAGGGCAGAAGGAAAAGGCTGAAAATGGATGATTTGTATTAAACGGTATCACACTGTATTCAGACTGAGGCACTGCTTGGTACCTCTTTGCTGTAACGAGGAGCCCCAGTCGGACAACTTATGGAGCGAGCGAGTGACTTTGGAACGATTCTCCTGAGGTCCTCAGGACCAGACCTCTCCGAGTGCTAAATGAGCAGCAGAATGAGCAACAGCTTGATTCATTTCATAAAGAATAAATGTGTTATTGAACACATGCGAATGTGAATACAAGAGGAAAAACAACGAGCAGGACACCCATGCTATAAACTATAAACCTAATGCCCCCCATGGGGTTTATAGTTCCTGGTCATGAAGTCAGTTTATAAAACAAGCTTTTTTTTAAATAAATTAATTGGAAGGCAACATTTTTACTTAATAAGCAGGTTTAAGGTTAATAGCCTTAACACTTTAATTTTAACAGAATATTTTTTACATTCTCGTGAAATGTTTCCATTTTATCCATTGGGGAGATAGCTAGTAAATTAGTTTGTTATGAATTAGACTTCCAAAAATAATATTTGTAGGTTCACAATAAAGCAAAAAAAAAAAAAAGAAAAAAAAAAGAGAATTTTTGCAAAAGAATACTGTGAATTTGAATTTTCATTAACATAATGCGATTTCTTGCTGTATACTGAATGTTGAAGTATGTTAGAGCTGTTAGTTTTCTTCCGTGACATTCACAAGTTAACACAACAATGGAAACTCATGCAGGCACAGAAATGGGTTACTTTGCAGAAGGTTTAAAGCTCATGCAGCTCATGCAGCTCATGCAGCGTTACATTTATATTTTGTTAGATAAGCAGTACCGACTACCAAGCGGTCTTCATGCAGGCCATCGACGTGCACAATGACTCTGTTACCTCCGTGTGATTATTTTCAGATGCGTTACTATCATCAACTGTCACAGTTTTGTGAACCTTCTCCTGCTCATTTTCCACATCGTTCTGTGAACTCTCACACATATTCTCATAATTCTGCTCGAGGCCTGATGAGCCGCTCTGTTCATGTTCACAGCCAGCGTCCGAGAGCGGAGAGGAGCTCTTTTGGGTCCCAAAGCAAGGCAAGGAAAGAGCAGCAAATGTTTCGCTGTTGGGTGCAGAGGAATCAGGATGAAGTGAACAGATTTCCTGTGTTTTTTCAGAGTCAGTGGAAGAGGGAGTGTGTGTCTTGTCCTTGTGTCCAGGAGTGCAAAGTGGGACAGAGGAGAAACCAGCCTGGGCTGTGGGGTCAGGGACAGGGTGGACCACAGGGTAGACGGTGGAGCTCTTAGGTATAGACAGAACAAGAGGAGGTGTTGACAAGGAAAGAGGAGAGGAAATGGATGATTCCACCTAAAGAAGAGGAGTCAGAAACATTAGGCTGAGTAGAATAAAATGATGAAAGCGCAGAAACAAGATCATTAAAAGGTTATCAAACTCTAAAGTGAAGAGGAGCGGTGTAACATTTACCATCTTAGAATCACTGCTGGGAATTAAACTGAAAGTTGTTGTTTTGCAGGACTTCTAAGTGTCAAAAACAAAAACTGCAAACTGTCTAAACCTCCCAGATGATGTCATTTTGTCAGACAACCAATTAAAGAGCAGAAAAGCAGCCAGCTGTACATCTCAAACGAGCATTAGTCCCAATTTAGCCATCATGAACATGCAGCAGTAAAATGATTAAAGGATGAACATTTTCATGCCAATAGTGTGTATAATACACAACCTGTGGTAGACAAAGAGGAGCTGCTGAGGGTGATCTGCTTGAGCCTGGAAACATGGAGGAGAGGAGGCTAGCTCTCTCTTTTATACTCCTCCTGGAAAAGTCCCTAGCAGACAGTCTCTGGTCTTTACTCTAAAGGAACAGCAGGTGGCGGTCAAAGTTGGAACGGATTCAAAATAAATAAATACTGTAAAGAACTGCTATGACATTCACCTGCCGCATAACCCCCCCTGATCTCTCAGAGGACTGCCCAACACCCAGAGCAGACTGAGGAGAGGGAGAAAGACGAATAGGTGAGAGGTCTGGAGAGGTGCGTTCTGGGTAGTAATGTTCAGGAGTGTCAGGGCTCAGTGAGCGAGGAGGACTCAACGGGCTCTTTGAGCGTGGGGGCGATGGAGACCGACTGCAGGCGCTCCGAGTGTGAGAGAATTTGGGGGAGGAGAGGAAAGTAGCGGGATTCTCAAGCAACTGAAGGTAGATGGAAGGCTGGGTCAAAGGCAAGAGGAAATGGATTATGCACAGATGCGCACAGATGCTACATGACATAATGGAAGAAGTTCAGAGGCGCTCAGAGGCAAGCATACCTGCCACTTGGGGTGAGTGGGAAGCAGACTAGGAGGAGGAGGAGGAGTGTCATCTTTGGGCTTTGCAAAACGGGGATTTTCTCTCTCCACTTCCCCATCTTCCTCATCCTCCTCATCTGATGAAGGAAGTGGGGAAGTTGGAGGAGACTGAGCAGGAGAGTAGGATGGATCTGATGGGTCCTGATCCGACGGAGGCGTGGATAGGAAAATAAAAAGGAAAGTAAAGGGTGAGAAAAGGGTGTGCAGAGCATGAAAGGGTTACTTCGCAAAGAAGCCAGTTTGTGATATGAGGACCGCAAGCAAAAACAAATGCATGCATGAGGAAGATACAGGCATTAAATCAATTCTCCAAAGTAAAAGCAAAAAATAGATTTTTGTCAGACTGACCAAGATTTGGATGTAAATGCTCCATCATGAGAAAGGAAGTCTCATAATATCAACATACCACGTTTACCATAAGATAGTATTATTGAATTTAAGTGAAATACACTCACAGAAAATACTTCAAAGATGAAGTATTGAGTCAGACACTTTTTCCTTCTGGTGTACCATCAAATAAACCTGCAAACAGCATTCTTTAACCAGCTTAAAACTGCATCATGTTCTCCGTTAAAGCTAAAAGATTACAGACGGATACAATGACAGCCAACTGTTCTGCAACACATCCGATGCAGGCAGGCAAATCCCAAGTAAATTAACAACCTTTAAGACCCTTTACATAGTCAGAAGGCAGAAACCCCACAGGCGACACAGACTGCTCAGACAGCAGAGGGAGGATGAGGAAATAAATACCAAACTCACCTTTGTTCGAGCCTTTACTGTTGCGGAGTTCTCCTCAAATTTGGCCAGCAGCTGAGTTGCCATGGAGCGGACTTTGTTCTCCCGTTGTTCCCCATCCTCACCAGCAGGGGGAGCACTGTGACAGGACAACTGGCATCACACAAAGGAGAAAGAGAAAGTGAGATCAATTTGAAAAGCAAAAAGTGGCATTACCCACATTGCTTGGAAGAATGAAGCTATTTCAAAGAAGAACCTACCTCTGTGAGGTAGTGGTTGCCCTTTCGCCGTTTCTTGTTATCAGAATCTTCCTCCAGTTTGTCATCCTGCAGCATCAGACAACACAAACATATACAAACTGCATCTCACTTTCATCCGTTAAAAAAATAAAATAAAAAAAAGACTTTAAAAGAGGCAAACCTGTGGGAAATTTCAAAATAAAAGGCTGTTGTACTCTCAATAAGCCAAAACTTGCAAACCTGCAGGAGTATTAACCACAAAGCAAACCTATTTATCACAACAGATGCTCTACACTAATACGCCTTTTCCCTCCGGCACTCATAAATCCTATGCACACTAACAGCTAAGATTCATGGTTAGATAACACACGCATTACAAACACTACTTTGACCTTTAATGCTACCTGATCTCTAATCTAATTTATATGACTACTGTTGAGCAGCAGAAATGTTCAGATCAAATCAATATCACACAAAAAGCAGCAAAATGCAAGAATCAGCATTTCTCCTTACCCTGGGAATCCTCTTTCTGGGCTGAGGCAGGTTTAGCGCCTTGTGGTTGGTTTTAGATTGATAATCTTCACCATTTTCATCTCCTTCTCTGGAAACTGGAAAATAAGCACAATACAGTTTACATACAAGTTATCCAATCTTTTCAGGAAATTCTGCTAAAACAGTTCAAGAAAATGTAAAATTACTATTAAGATCAAATGTCATTACAAGGCTTGCTGGAAACAGTAAAATTCCTATTTTAGAGGTGGATTTGTTTGCAAGTGCGACACTTGTTGATTTGAGTAATGGAAAAAAACAAAAAAAACCCCTGTATGCGTCACATACAAGGCAGTGGGAGAGAAGGACACAAAAGCTCCCTTTACATGAACAACCACCACTGACAGGTGGAGTAAAAATCGCTGATCACTTGTTTTCAGAGCAGCTTTAATGGGACTTTCTGGGTCCTGACAACCTAGAGGAAAATTAAATTGATGCAGACACTACCCTGCTGAAACAGCAGTCCCCAGCAACAGCGGTCCTCCCATAATTAGACAACGCACTGGACAACACTGTCAAAAATGGTTTAGGAAAATAGCAACACAGAGGACTCAAAACTACCAATGCCCAAATCGCAAATTCCAAAAAACTAAATCTCAGAAACTACAGGTCAAGTTCATGAAAATAGAGTTTCATTAAAGAAGCATGACTTGTTTGGACAGGTTGCCAGGAGCAAGTTTATTTCTTAACATGGCAGCGCAGCCAAGTGTGCACAGTCGCATCTGAACAAACCACAAGGCTTCTGGAACAGTGTCCTTTGGTCAGACGAGACCAAAGTGGAGATGTTTGGCTATTAATGCACAGAGCCACGTCTGGCAAAACCAAACAGCATGTCAGCAAAAACACCTCACTCTAACTGTCAAGCACGGCGGTGGAGGGATGATGATTTAAGCTCGTTTTAAAGACACGGGACCTGAACATCTTCAACCACAGACTCCTGTGTATGCCAGGACGGCACTGAACACAGAACTGTGCACAGAACTCTGCCCTCCTGCATGATCCAGTCAGCTTGAAAAAAAGAAAAAAAAAAGCATAAAAACCATTAAAACCCCAGGAAGTCACACTTTAAGCACCATCTTTGCTATTGTGGAATTGTTTGAGTGCCGTGTAACATTAGCATAGGGGAGGTGGGCGGAGATCCGTATTCAGCAACTTATCAACTCCCTGAAGGCCTTTTCCACAAAGCTGATGCCCAAAGCACTTGCTTCACATTTAGAGTCTAACACTGCTCTACATGTTTATCTCCCTCACTATTTTTTTCTACTTTTGGTTCTGTTTGATGTCACTAAGTGCAATATTCTTTATAAGGCCATCTCAGGCTTGCTGTGTTGGCTATGAATACAGAAATCCTGCCCACCTACTGCTCAAATCTGCCGTTTGCAGAGCCCACTTAAAAGTCAAAAAATGGGAACAACTTTTTTTTTTTTTTTTTTTTAAAGCTAAGGGGCAGCAGCATGGCCTAATTTCAGAAAAATGTGAATTATTTTGATATAAGCTATTTTATTTGAGTCCAAGAATAAAAACATGGGACTGGAAACAAGTCCTGTTTAAACTTAGATAAGTCTAAACTTAGATAAGGCCAAGTCTGAGCAGTGGACTTAATTAGACCAGGGTTCATCCTTAGACTCCAAATAAAAAAAGGAACTGGAGTAAAAACCACTAATGCATCTTTCCAAAATAACCCGAGGCTATTCAGCAGCACAAAGGGGCCCAGTGTAAAGACTAAATATAACTCAAGTCATGCACTTAAAGATCCTAAATTCCCACCAAATAAACTGAAAGTCAGTCATTTTTCCATCCTTTGAGTTCAGCAGACAGCAGAAGTCTGCAAACACCAACATTAAAGTGCGTTAGGTAAAACGTGGCTGAGGCTGCAGCTCGCAGTGGTGCTGGACCTGAAGGCGTCCAGAGTTACGCCAAGCGACTGGATATGTCTTCCACAGACATAGCTCGCATACCACTCAGGTCTCTGGCAGGGACCAACTCAACCACAGTTGTGTAACATGTAACTTTAGCTCATGTAGAAGACTCAGCTGGGACTATAATTTAGCAGAGGGACTTCTCCACAATTTAAAAAGACAATGAAAATGTGTCCACAGCAGCAGTAAGCAGCATCATTGTCTACCAATCAAAACACTAGAAGGATCTTGATGCGATCCACGTGAGGATATTTTCTCAAGTATCGTTTTGCCCTTTAAGAGAAATAAAGTGGATGGAGAGCCTTGTTTTCACAGCTTTTTTGGGTTACATACAGCATTTCACATTTTTTGGCAAATGGATAACTGCCTCGACCGCTTCCCCGTCTGTGTGTTCAGGGTTAGATCAATACACACGGTTAAATGTTAAATGATCATTTCCTGTTCCTAAACTGGGGTCAGGAGGTCAGGTTTTAGGGCTACCGTTTCCAGTCCAAGAAATTTACATTTAAAGACACGATGAAGACTAACTTTAAAAAACAAAAAAACAAAAAACCCAACAACATTGGGTTGTTCATGATTGAATTAAAAAAAAATTCATGTAAGAATCTTTGTGGTTCTGTGAGGAAGAAGCTGACCTTTGTTTGCTGGCGAGTTCCTGAAGGCCTCGTAGAACTTGGAAAGGTACAGGACCATCAGCAGCTTATCAGGTTGAGAATCTGCAGCCATCTCCTTTCCTGTCGTCACCGGTTGGATGCCAAACTCTCGCTCAGCCACATCAAACGCCAGCTGATTGTTCCCCGCCACGTCCTCCTCGTTCAGAGAGTCATAATCACTGAAATGGAAAAGGAGATGAAGGTGAGGTTAGGAGATGTGTGTATACGCTCAGGAGGTTTCTTCATATATATTCCATATACTGAAAACAATCTAGAGATAGAGCCGTTTGTGGAGGATAACTCAAGCCATTTATTTAGCTTCTAGATTTTACAGATGTCCCGTAAATGCTTCACACATTAGAGCAAAGCTGAATAAAAACAACTAAAGGAAAATATGACAAAAATATAAGTCATTAACCAAAATACAGATCTGCACTGTGTTCAGAACAATTTCAATAAGCCAAGATGGTGACAGCTTGAGGCTTCATGACAGCATACATAAAGCAGTCTATGCTTGCTGACTATTTGAGGGCATTCCAGTTACTGCTGACGGCTCCACTACAGCAGGAAATCAAGCAATTATCAAGCAAGCAATTTAAAAATTGAGCATTGCACAAGAAAAGTCAATTAAACTGTGAGGAGAGAGCCAAAGAGACATGGCTCTGAAAGGTTTCTTTTGTTTGTTTTTAATTTGCACAATCATATGACTCAATTACTAAGCTATTCTAAACCAAACATTGCTCTTGAAGCTGTTGACGGAGCATGAGTATGAGAAGCAAAAATCGTCGCCTGAATTATCACGAGCATTAGTGCAAGTGTTTCCTGTTAGCAAGCTTTGGCTCTCCTTACATGAGCTCAGGCTTCTGCCGATGGATGAGAGCACAGAGGGCCAGGCCATTCCTCCAGGAAGATGCGAGGTTGGTGACATCGACTCCCTGGTACCCATGAGTCTGCCTCTGACACCAGTTCAGCAGGCGGCCAGGATGGACCTCAGACTCTACAGAGAGAAACAGTCTGTCAGCATGCAGCATCACAGGAAAGGGCATCTTCATCGTCACCATTATTTCCTCAAGGCTGGAAATGTTCCTCAGACAGTGCTGACACTATGGCACGTTAATAAAGTACGGGTTGGTTTGAACTTGCAAAACCTGAACGACCTCCCAGGCCTGAAGCAACACTGGCAGCAGAGCACATGCAAGGACATGCTTTAAATCATGACCGTAAACTCAAGCAACACAAACAAGAGAAGGAATTAGAGTGTCCAATGGGTCCCAGTACTCTTTCTGCAAAAACACTATAGGTAGCGGGACTGGGAGCAGTGGGGTATCAATGCAATCCCCTGCTTCTGAGAAAACACCAGTATCCTCTTCAGTGCATGATTTTAAACAAACTTATGAAATAGCACAGGCTTAGTGAGAATTATTAATGATTTTACATGATAAAAAGCATGTGATACTAATATGTCATGTCATACGTCATGCATCTTCCTTCCTAGCACAAATAACAAGACAGGCCCATGCAGCGACAGCTGCTTGTCAGCCTCGGACAACTTAAAAGAAAACAAAAATGCAAGAAAACGGACCGGATTCAACAAACACCGAGTACAATCAGATCACGAATCCTTCATATGATGTTAAGCTAACAACAGCCAGTTCTCCATTCTTGATGCACTAGTTAGTTAAACTCCACACAACAGGAAGAGCAACCTGTGGGAAACCTTTATTGTGCAGCTCCTGAAGAGCTGAACTTGACTTAGCTGTTGTTAAACTAAAGTTTTAAGCACTTTTTCTGGGAAAAACGCTACCTTGGCTACGTTTGGGCTTGACTTATGCTGCGTCACTACTATTGCTATATAATATGTTGCTGGTACTCTGTGGCCACAGATTTACAGAAGCTCACTGCTCTTCATTTTGGTGCGGCCTGCAGCACAGCTTTTATTTATTACAGATTCGATCCATTTTTTCCTACATTCTCAAAAGTATTACAAATTTCCTTTGAAATAATACAATATAATTTTGAGGCTCTATTGCAAAACCCTAGTCCTAATTAGTATAATATTCCCAGGATAATCGCAGCTCTTTACCAACTCCATTTCTTTTTTTAGCTCTCCAGTTAATCCTGTGCTCCAATACTGCCATCATATTATTACAGGGAGGCCGTCTCAGGGCGCATCGTTTATGGGGGCAGGAGACATGAACACTGTTAAAATTGTTAATATTTACCTTTTTTTTTTTATTTACAAATGCAATGTTTGATTACCCCTGCATCCCAGGTTTTAGAACAGATACTTCCATAGTGCCTCTGAAAAGTACGACTTCATGCAACATAACCAAAAGTACTAATATTACTAAATTGAGCAAATTTAAATGCAAAGCCCTACACTGTGTGCATCTGCTCTTCCAGATCATATCAGGTCAGCTCATGCATGAAAGAGGCCTCATGTTGGACCCTCGTGCAGGTGTAATGTTATCCACCTGTATTGTCTGCAATGAGGCGTGTCGAGCCTGTGACTGAGATGGAGCTAAAGTTTCCCCTCAGGAGGGCTGAGCAAGCATTCAGTATGATGTCAGCGGCCTTCCTTCTGTGAACCAATCTGAGGAATTTATTCAGACTCTTTTTTTGGGGTATTAGATGACATTGCCAACCGGTGCTAAGATGTTTTTGGAAACCTCGTATGAGCTTCTCAATTTGATGTTTCAAAGAAAGCTTTCATGCAGTGTTAATGAGGCTGCAGATGCATCCAGGTCTTACTGATGAGTCAGAATGATCAGATTACTATTAAAAGAAGACTGGGAGCTTTTACAGACTAATTAAGTCCCACCTGAGCAGTTGGCAGCAATCCTTTATGCCGCTACATATTAGGCACATCTACAATCTGCTCTTTGTTATAGCTCCGTGAACAAAGTAGATTGGCTGGGACTGTAATCTCCAATTTGTGACTATTAAAGACTCACACAGCAGAAAATGAAGCTGTTCGACATGCTGGGTCTGTCCAGATGCATCAAATGCTCTCAAAGTGCAAAGGTCCAAGAACACGACGAGGAGAGCTCGATTATCATCAACTGTCTTTTTCTGTAATGCACTATAACGTTGAGGTTCTTTGATGTTACCATTGGTTACAACTTGACACGATTATAATTAAATCCATTATTCATGTTTGATGGTTGGAGTGCACTTTGTAGCTTGGAGGAACATCTACCTTTCCTGGACAGGTTGACTGATCGACGTGCTGGTCCTCCTCTTTCTATCTGACCTGGTCCCTGATGACCATCAATGAACAGGTGACGCACCTGGAAGTACAAAAATCAGGAGGCCTAATGACATATAGGTTCTAGGGATGTGCAGATAGAAACTGTAGGCTGTCGACTAAAATTTGTATATTTTTTTTCTTTAAATGTTACATTGGTACATGGCATTTGAACTGCAATATATATGATACTGACCACAAAGGTTTCTGTTGGAAGAAAATGTACTTGGCACTCTTTCATTTCCACATTCAGTGGAAAGATTACATGATTGTGTTGACTGCACAAAAAAAACATTTGAGTTTTCAGAGTCTGCAGGCTTCCAGTGTCACGAGAACCAATACTTTGAGAGATGTTTTCTCATTTCCTGTTTTGATCTTTTGAAACTGATTGGCTGTTATTGTCCAATGGCTATGAAGACGAAAAACAAAAGACAAAATTTGGGGGTGGCTGTAGCTCAGGCGGTAGGAGCAGGTCATCTACCGATCGGAAGGTTGGTGGTTCGATTCGCTTCCCCCATTCTGCATGTCAAATATCCTTGGGCAAGATACTAACCACAAATTGCTCTCCGATGCATCCATCGGAGTATGAATGCGTGTGTGAATGTTAGAAAGCACTTAGAAAAATGTGCTTGTGTGAATGGGTGAATGCACAAGTTGTATAAAGTGCTTTGAGTGCTCAGAAGAGTAGAAAAGCGCTGTATAAGAACCAGTCCATTTACCAAATCCAGGAATATTTGTGTGACCACGGGTTTGAAGATGTTTGGTGTTGATGACTACTTATTTTTTTGTTAATGCAATGAAACAGCCACATAAGTTTGTTTATATCAATGTAGGGATGTCAGATTCCACCCTTCTTGATTTCACCAGACAGTCCCCATATTTTCATATTCAGAATCATAGCAATTACTCCTTGATGACCCCTCTCAGCTGCACCATAGTGCTGAATCATCAGAATTTGTGATGGCAAATGTGATATATTTGCATAGTTCAAGTGAGCATACTGAGTTTCCCCAGTGCCCTTATTTGCAGAGCTGAATATTATCGATGTAAATCTAGAAACGCAGCTCTCACTGAGGGTGTAGTTGGTTGGTGCCAAAACACCAGCAGCAGTAGAGATTTGATCTCACACTGCAGAATTTGTAGAGAATTTGCTCAGAAAAAGTTTGAGCTCGTTGTCGATGCCTTATGGAGAATAACTGAAACATCTAAATCTCTTCAAACGCGGGTTTATTTATGTGACATCTACCATATTAATGTGGAAACGATCCCCTAACATTCTAGTTTATAATGAGGTAGACAAGTAGAGATTTCAATCCAGTATTTCTGTTAAGTGTAGAAGGCAACTTCTTGCCTTCTTCCTTCACAGGTACCCTGTTGAGCACAGGACTCACCTGATGTGGGCGCACACAGCTGGCGTTGAGGTTGGGGTAGCGGGTAGCAGGGTCAATGGAGTACTGTTCAAAGTTTTTACTGATGTTCTCTGGGGTGGTCTGGGGTAGAAGACGGTAAATGCTCTCCCTGGAGTAGAAAGAAAGATTTAACTATCAGACTTAAGAAAGAACAGCTTTTAAAAGGAACCCAGAGTTCTATGACTTAAAAGTGCATTCATGTGGAAACAAACCAGCTCAGGAATTATTAGAAGACATAATCCGTTTGAATCCATGAACATGCTCACACACCTCTCAGCCAGGATCTCCAGTGGGCTCTTTCCTTTTGCCCAGCCCTTCACCATCCATGCAGTGTCAAAGGCAGCCAAAAACCCCCGAGCGCAACCCGTACCCATCGGCCAGAACGGCTGTAAACAGAAAGCATGACACACACAAGCTGAGCCTGGCACACAATAAGAGCAGTGTTGGACAACTTTCACGACACTGATAAATAAATACATAAGTACATTTTATTCTAGGCACCTGTCAAAAACACTCAAGATCACATTAGAAGACTTAAAAATATACATCTCATTAAGTCAATAAAAGATTCAATAAAACAGTTAATAAAACAAGTTTACAATACATAAAGTCATTATGACCAGAGTAGCAGGTGGGAAACGATCAGACTGTGTGTGGAGTTTAACGATGGTGTTTGGAGATGGGATCTGAAAGCAGAGAGTCGGTGTTATGGATGTCTGGTGGGAGGGAGTTCCACAGGTGATGGACGGACAAGGTGAAGCCTGTCGAGCCCATAGCAGTCAAACGGGTGGATGCCACAATGAAATGGAGAAACGCACCCAGAAGTTCAGGGAGGCACTTAAGGTTAGTGACTGCCTTGAAAGCTGGGAGCAGAATTTTGAACTCAATACAATATTGAACCAGAAGCCAGTGAAGCTGCTGAAGGACAAGCATGATGTGGTTAATGGACGAGCTGGTGATGGTGCGAGCAGCAGAGCTCAGGAACAGCTAAAATTTATGGTTGAACTTGAACACGCAGGCACGGCAGTACTGTTGGGTGAGACGGATGGAAGCGATTAATGTTACGAAGATCAAAGTACGATGTGAGGGTGGAAGGACAGTGCGCCGTCAAGGATGACACGCAGACTCTGAACCTGAGCGGAGGGAGAAACCGAGCGACTGTCAATGAAAAGGGAACGCTACAACTTCTCATACCTCAAGCAAACTATCTCCCACCAGTGCAACCAGCAGCTGGTGCCCATGTTTCTCCCTGATCAAGGCGGCGTTTTCTGAGGCGTACATGCAGGTGAAGTCAAACATGGCTACATCTGGCTGTCCGTAGTGGTTGATGGCGTAGTCCAGGGATGGCAGCTGGTAGTTGGTGCCAAAATCAGCCGCTTCACGAGCATATGAGAGCAACGCTTCCTGATTGACGTTGTCAGGACTCAGAAGCCGTTCAGTTTCCATGTAATCCTGCATTAAGAAGAAGGAGACAGTTAGTTTTAGGCACATTGTATTGACAGTTGCTTTTCCACCATATTCAAAAAGTTAGTGTTATCCCATCATTTTTAATCAAAGCAGCAAGGCTGATGGTCAACGAAGAAATATTAACCGGGATAATTCAGAAATGAGTTTTATATTTCTGCTAAAACTTGATGTAAAAAAAAAAAAAAAAAAATTTATTAAAAGGCTCAACACTGTCTTTCACTGAACACATGCGTCTTTACCTATATTACTCCCACTGTGGGGGAAAACATCTGCCTTCTTTTACACTGTGGGGACCTCATCGTCACAAATTATCTTAAAAGAAATAATTACATTTTTTAAAAGAAATAGTTGTAACAGGTTTAGGGAGAGTTTCCAGGATCTTAAGAGAAATCCATGTAATGGTCTTGAACTGGTAATAAAGGTATGTGAGAGGGGAGAGAAAGAAAATTAATAAATAGCCCTCATACGTATGCCAATCCATCCCCAATACTCTCGTGTGTGTGTGTGTGTGTGTGTGTGTGTGTGTGTGTGTGTGTGTGTGTGTGTGTGTGTGTGTGTGTATTTTCAGATAATTGGTTTGGCAGACATTACTGGGTGGTTAGACTGAGGGTCACATGGAGCCTTTCCAATATGATCCAGTTGATGTCCTAATGCAACTGTAATAACCGCATTTATAATGTCTAATCTCTTTAATGGTGTGTGTGTGTGTGTGTGTGTGTGTGTGTGTAGGTGTGTAGGTGTGTGTGTGTGTGTGGCGCATGAGCGTTTAATTAGAACCCCATTCATCAACCTCCTCTATGCCGACCCGTCACTCACTGGTCTGGCGAGCACGCACGCATTCCTGTTTGGGAACGGCCTTTGAATCCTGAAACCAGGGTTAACCACAGAGGGAGGGTGTGAACTGTGACCCATTGGAGTCTGGAAGAGTCGAATCTATGTTTGTGTGTCTGATTAAATCAAAGTCAGCTGAGTAAACTTACATTAATGATGACCCCTTTGTCCAGCAGGCTCTGCTTTTTTGCAGTCATGACAAAGTAGTGGGTGTTGTCTTTGTAGTAAACTATGTTCTCCAAGTCGATTCCTGCAAACATGAACATATTTACTTAACAGAGGACGTTTAGCGCAGGAAGGAGCAGCATTTAGAGCGGGAGAAGCTGTCATTTTCCCACTGCAACATTCTTTCCTGACTCACCCGTGTCCTCTTTGAGTTCCAGAAAGAACTTTTGGTTAAAGATGAAGGCCACGCCACTTATTTCTTCTACTTTGGCCTCTGCTGTTGTGTTCCTATTGACAAAGTTAGCCGTTATAGCGATGGCCAGCTTCCCACGAAACTCCTTGCGCCTGAAACCTGCAGAGGTGGGGGAGGAAAAACAAAAAAACAAAAAAAGGGTTCAAACATTTCAAATCATTTATTATTTCCTGAAGTTGGTAAATCAATACAAAAGTATTGAAAATACAATCCACAAAGCTTCACTTTGTTTGTTCCAATAGTGGGAAAACAGTAAGCTTGCTCCTGATGACCTCAGCGATCTGGATGTTTTGTAAGGCAAAGGCTGAATTAAAAATGTAACTCAGTAAGAGTCCATTTAGTGCTTTACACATGAGAATGATTTTAAAAGTTATTCAAAGGGAATGCAGTGATTTCTTTTTTACTGAGTAATGCGCTCCACCTTTTTGATGTTTGTTAGATTTCTGCAGAATTATGAATGAGCTGTAGTTTTACTATGACCTGTAAAGACACAGTTACAATAATCCGCTGAAGATGTGATCATTTGAATACTGTGCAAGCAAGATTTTCTGCATCTGCTTCAGACTGAAATCCTTTAATTTTTCCAATATTTTTCCTATGGTACTAGCACGGTAGGGAAATGCACTGTTGCCTCACAGAAATAAGGTCCTGGGTTTGAATCCAGGCTGGATTTACAAGAGATGCCTTTTGTGGAGTCTCCAGGTACTCTGGCTTCCTCCCCAAATACATGCATGGGGTTAAAATAACTGGTGTCTCAAGTGGTTATAGGTGTTTCTGTGAGTGCGTCTCTGTGCCAGCCCTGTGATAGACTGAAGATCTGTCCAGGGTATACCCTGCGTCTTGGCCTATGACAGCTGGGATAGGCTCCTGCACCTCTGATGTAAGGCTGAATTTGTGCATCATGTTTTCTAGATAGGCTGTTTTCTTTGGGGGTGAAAACAACCACCGATTTGCTTAATGCACTTTTTGTTTAAGTGTAGGGGAACTGCAATCATGTGGTGACACTGATGTGTAGAGTTGTGTGTCATCTGCATACTTTTGACAATAAATGTTATAATACTCTGAATGAGAGGGAGCATGTAGATATTATTCCCTCAATACCGCTAATGTACTCTCCAAAATCCAAAAGTACTTATCAAACAGGCTCCAAGTGAACATCACATCCTTTATCCCAGGACAAGACTCAGCGGTCCATCTGCAAGGACAGAGGTCACTCTTTCGAAGATGCCAATGTTCCCATTTTGGACAGAGAAGACCGACGGTTTGAAAGAGGAGTGAAAGAAGCCATCTATGTCCACTGTGAACGGCCATCTTTGAACAGAGGCGGTGGTTTACGACACCAGCTGTCTGCCATCCAGTGTTGAGATCCCTTCCCAGATGCCTTAACATCACATCCTGGGCCTTTTGACCTCAGGAAATCACATGATAGGGTGGGGCTAGGTTTCACAATGAGCTCACCCGAAACCTTGGCTGATGGTGACCTACACCCGTTTTCACACCTTGGCTCGTGTGATTAGGTAGAGGATCATTAGGGAGTCCAATGTCCCTCTCACTCCCACAGGGCTTAACCCTTTAGAGCCGATCGGAGCGGGAACGCTCTGTTATGCGTAACTATTTTTAAATCCCGGTAGCACTGCAACCACGTAAGCTAGCGCAAAAAATTTTTTTGCATATGAAACCGGAGAAGTTGTACTTACATCTGATGCCATCAGCTTGTCCTAGGTCACGGTTTCCTTCCACATAAAGCTTTGCAAAAACTGCATAAAAAGCGCTTGCAGGAACAAAAACATAATATTCCAGAAACTCGCTTTGCCGGTCCGATCAGCTGATCAAAACACTTCCTACGTTGGAATAGACGTCAGCGCGAACTTTTGCATTTCCGCCATTACCTGGCCGAAACCGGAAGTGACGTCATTTTCGCGGAAATGTAGTCTTTTTTGCGATCAGGGCCTCAGGGCCTATACTGCTCTTTTTAAAAGTTATCTTTGACTTTATGACTTTGTGTCGTTTCTGGGATGCTTAGGACTCATATTGCACTGCTGGAAATAGTTTATTTTGATGCATATGCTGCTTTTTTGCAAATTTGCATTCTAATATTTATTTTCGTTTTTCCTGCAGTGTATAAAAATTGGTGTATTTCAAAAATAAAACTATGAAGACACTCAAAATAAATTTCCTGTGGTGGGAAACTATTTTGTGCAACTTTTTTGTATTTACAGTTTTGAGGGATAAGCCTCTTAAATTTCTCTAACTACAAATATATGTTAAAAAATCAAAAACGATTTTCAATTTTTTTGTAGTTTATTGCACTTTTTTGCAATTTATGTAATTACTATGCACTTAATGAATACATATTATTAAAATCTGGGCTATAATGGTTGTATTGATGTATAGCAACTTGAAATGCTCCCAAAAATGGCTCCACAGCATGTAAAAATATAATATAAGCTCTGGCGGACTTGGTTCTATGGTAGGTCTTAAAGGGCTTAAATCTGGGACTCCCCACCATTTGACCCTAGAACTGCAGAAACTTCTTGGATGAGAGATGAAACGTCTTCAAGCAACTTAAAGAAGTCCAGACGCTTTTCTTTCCAAGCTTCTTAGACTCTTTGCCATCCTCATCATGGATATGTGGAATTACTCCAAGTCTGAAGAAAATCCCTGCAGGGCCTAACCATTGGGGAATTTAGTATTTTTAATACAGATGCTGCAATTCTCAAGTTATCTAGTGTAGATGACAGTCAGGAGTTAGTCATAATGTTGTTCTTTCCCTAACAAATAATTTGCACAAACACCCCCCTCCTACTAGTCGACCATTATAATCCTATTTAGAATATTCCTTGGAGGAAAGTCCCGGAGCAACATGCAGTTGAAAGAGTTTCTCTGCAGTCATGGAGACACCAAACCTTCAGGAGGATGATGCTTCCCATCAGTCGTCCTTATGGGAAAGTAAACATGTTCATAACACACATATGCCACACACACTCACACACGAGCAGAAAATAAACACTGCTACTTGTACGCTTTGACAAAGCCAACAAAGCTCTCCAACAGTTCATGAACCAGAACACCCCTCTGACCCCATACGCACCATTAAGCCTCCAGCTGAAACTATGTCAGCAGGAAATGCTTTACCAAGTGGCCGAAAGCAGCTTTGCGCCACCTCACCTCATTTCCACAAAAAACAAACAAACGGAGCTTTGACTCCTGAAATGTAGGTCCATAACAAAGTATGACCCACAGTACCACTCGCATCTGTAACCTATAATCTTTTCTCACCATCTAATGTGCTTCTGCGTCCGTCAGCTCCAATCACCACGTCAAATTCAAAGTCCGAGACAGGATGGCCAGAGGGTCGGATCTCTGCCCGCCAACCATGACCTGAGGAAGAACACAAGGAACCATATATGATATTCAAGGACAGTGCAAGAAAACACAAGCAGGAAGGCAGGAAGGCACGCTCAAGTGCTGATTTTAAAGAAAAACACGAAACAGAGCAGATGAGGTTGGATCTCAACTACCCTCTCAGTGTCACATAGTTGTGTCATGTTCCTTGGAGTGTTAGAGTGAGAAAGTTTCTGGACATGCTGTGTGGGACATGCTATTTTAAGACATTCAGAAAACACAGCACAGAGTTCAACTAAAATTTAACAGCACACTCAGTTTATCTTTATTCTCCACACAGTTTATTAGAAATACTCTATATACACTTCAAATGTGCGATCATTTTAACATGCACTGTGTGTAGGGAACTTTCCTTATATAGCCAAGATATGCAGGCGGGTCCCAGCATGTCACTGCCACTCGTGACACTTTAACATACAGATAATACCACAAATACACACCCACAGACACACTTGTCTTTCTGTATTTGTGAGGATACTTACTGACTTTGGAACTGAAAATGGCTTCATAGTAGAGCAATGCACTGACTCACACACTGGTGTAATGAATTTGTTCATGAGGACATACTCACCGACATCTGTCTGCTCCTCTGGTGGCTCCAGCAGTTTGATGAACTCAACATTGACGTGAATCTCGACACCAAGGATCAAGCTCACTTTTACCAGCATCAGTTGAAGCTGGCGGATACCTGGAGCAGGGGCAAAGAGACAAGTATGTTCACAGAGCAAACCAAGAAAAGAACCATCTCTACTGGCAAAAAACAGCAATTCTTCATACTTAGTAGTTATTGACACACATCAATTAAATCTCCAGAATAAAACTGGGAAATTTTAAAAAAAAAGCCAACGTCCTCCAAGATCCATGATTATAAAAAAGGCATTCTTCTAACCAAGCAGCAACTTACAGGGATAAAAAGAAATTATGCCAACAGAGAAGTGCCAAAAATGACCCGAGCCCATTCCAGGGTGGATTTTAAAGTTAGAATGAACTTTACAGGCTGTAAACTGTGCTCTAAAGCCTCCATAACAACGCTATGGTGGGTGGATTTTCAACAACTAACCCTTAAACTTTAGGAAGGCTTAAAAACAGGTGGCTTTTAGTTTATTGTCATTTAGCACTAATTAACTCTCAAGTGTGTCTCTGCAATGCACTTTGCTATCCATGCTGGCAAGCATTATGCAACAACTCGGTAGTTTTAAACCAGAAACGGTTTAAAACCCCCAAAATCTGGGTGTTGATGAGCAGGGGAACAAATATAACTAAGTTTAGTATATACAACCTTTGGTATGGAATGTGGTTTACTGATGCTTTCGTGCTGATGTTTATTTTGCTGAAATTGGACTCAGATGAGTTTTTAATGTTATTTATTCATGAAATAAATAGTTTGGGGGTTTGAACCTTTTTATGCTTCTTAAGTAGGCCATGTCACATAACTCGAAGAACCGCTGACACAAAAAGGTAATCACAAGGATTATAAAAATAGAGCTTTGCTGCTGCTGCAACTGAATGAATCCAAAGCAACAAAGACAAGGACACCGTACTTGTGTGGATCTGTCACATACAAATCTGGTACAACAGAGTACTGCAACCAAACAGACCATAAAACAGACTGACAAGAGTAGATACTTGCAGAGACATGGCAACAGACTCTCAATGAGTCAAAATTTAAAATCAACATAAGCATGATTTTTTTAATTTTTAGAATAATATAATGAGAGTTGTTTGTACATGTTTCCACTTGTGCTCCAGAATGAATTAAAGTTAGGAGAAGGACATGCAGTGGGTGGGTGTGGCGGAGGAGGATGCTAGGGATAGGATGAGATGGAGGCAGATGATCTGCTGTAGCAGCTGGAAGAAGATTCCCCCTACACTACTGTAAGAATCTGATATGCCGAAGCATTTACACTGTACTCACATGCATTAGCAAAGAATGCCCGTACAGTACAGATGTGACGAGAAGTGAAGAGAGTCAGCAGACCTCATCTTTGAAATGAGATACATGACAGTTACTAAAGCTGGAGAGCAACAAGTGCGAATGGAAATGTGAATGGTAAATGGCCTGTATTTGAATAGCGCTTTACTTAGTCCCTATGGACCCCAAAGCGCTTTACACTACATACAGTCATTCACCCATTCACACACTGGTGATGGCAAGCTACATTATAGCCACAGCCACCCTGGGGCGCACTGACAGAGGCGAGGTTGACCACCACCAGTAGGCAACGGGTGAAGTGTCTTGCCCAAGGACACAACGACTGAGACTGTGGGAGCCGGGGCTCGAACCGGCAGCCTTCCGATTACAAGACGAACTGCCAACTCTTGAGCCACGATCGCCCCGCTACTTGCAAGCTGCAGCAAGTCAGGCTGCAGGAAAAAAAAATCCTCCTCTCACATGACACAGAGTCACACATCCACTTCTGTGACGTTGGCTTTGGTTTTGTGGCCAGACAACATCACATTTACTGCACAGTAGTGATTTCTCACACACACAGTGCACTTACTCAGAGGCAGGAACCATTTACATGTTATGGCTTCACAGTACTTTGCATGTTTTCTCTGTTAAAGCACTACTGCGGTGCCACTCTGAGGACTTTACAGCCCATTTTATTTTTACAAATGTGCTTCAAACGCATCACATGCAAGAAATCATAAAGATACCGCTCCAAACAAAAATAACATTAGAAATGAAATTAGATTAGAATTTGAAAAATCTGATTAGAATGAATACATAAAAAAAAAAAAATCAAACCAATATTAGAAAATTTTCAGAGCGATTAAATGTTCTATAACGTAGAACTTTTGCCAGACTTGTTTTATAATCTGACACCTCTTCAGCTGGCATAGGAAATTCACGTTTAGTTAAGACTAAGGGGTAAGAACCCTGGGCATCCACTAATGTCTGTGCCCCACCCCTTACACACAGAGTGGAGAAAGTAGCAACTTCCTCTGGGCTAAAGGATGGTACCAACTTTCAGCCAAAGTACAAGCCCGACATCAAAGCTGGTACTGCACTTCCTCAGATCTCACAAAAACCACATTAAGAGATAAAAGATGGAAAATTTCCCAAAATATTATTATAGCTTAATAAAATTTCAGACAGGCAGAGCAACTGAATTTTAATTCATTTTTCTTATGTCTCAAATGAGATTGTTTCATGACTATATTATCAAGATACCATGGGACTCGTGTTTTGTTTCCTATTACAACCATTTAGAACCTGGTCAGTAAATAACTTTAAAAGCAGATGAATTATTCAATCATAAATTGGAGCCATTTGGAAAGAATTAGGATGAGTCTTCCTTCCTAGAGCTAAAAATCAAAGAATGTGTGTCACAGTTTAACTTTCAGTCAACTTCAACAAGTCTGCTGCGCTGTTTGTTTGGAAGATTATCATCAAAGCTTAAAAAAAAGGAGACAAATGATGTGTGCACGCTCACTGATGTGGTCGATGGAGCCAGCACAGAACTTTCCGTAGAACTTCTTGGCCCCGAGTCCCCTGAGGTCGTGAATGGTGTAGGGCCAGAGGTGGAGCACATTGTTCCTGGAGAAGGTGTCTCTTTTTTCAATCACCACCACCTTGCAGCCCAGCAGAGTCAGCTCGATGGCCGTCCGAAGGCCACATGGACCGCCGCCAATGATCAAACACTGAATGGGAGAAGATTTCAGTTTTAAGAATCTGTACTGCAACACAGGAACAACTCCAGCATGTCGTCTGCCTGTCTGACTCTCACTGTCATTGTACTAGCTTGTTTAACACTAGCTTATAAAACAAGGGAGCTCACAGAGAGGTCTGAAGGCAAACGGCAACAGACAGTAACTGAAATGTTCTCTTGCATGTTATTCAACCCAATCAGGTTGTGAATCACTCAACATACCTAAAATATCAGCATGTAAGCTTAAACATATACTTTACAGATTACTGAATTTCAACCCCTAATGCAAATATGCCATGCATGCAGCTGGAGTGGGAAAGCATCATTCAAATGTCTTGCAGCAGCTAGCGCCCCTCTTTTTAATCACAGTCAGCGCCTCATTTCCAGATTGGCACGCAGCTATTTTACAGCTACACAGGAAATTACGTAGCCAAACAGTTAGCACAGCAATTTGGATAATTTTTGTTAGGGTACATTTCTAACGGCTACCTTATTAAAAAGAACAACGAAAAACCGATAGATTCACAGAACTCTACAAAGTCCCAAACTGCTAAATCCTCTGCCCTCATTTTGAGAACAGATACAGTTTTAAAAGAGAGATCGCCCACCCAGCCTTAGGCCCACCATTTTTCTCCTGGAAAAAAAAAAGCCTGAAATAATAGTTTGTTATTTTTGGCCAACTCCCAACCCAGCCCTTTTGTGTCAATCTCCCCTCTGTGAGTCTCTGGCCTCATTTCCCTCCAGACTTCTTATCTTCTCCTTCAGAAATGAGCTTTCCAGTGCTGCGTTAAACACAGTGCTCAGAATATCCATTCGTTTATGGCGAGACAAAACTCACGTGACAGAAAATACCAAAGAGGAGATCCTTATTGTATCACATGAAATGCATATGTGAACTTTCATAATGTTTTTGAGCAAATAATACTAAACTCCCAGAGAGCAGCCATTTGGCTTTTCTACCTATAAAACCCGGAGAGCAGCCAAATGGCTGGTAGGCTTTTAGCTAAGCTTTAGCTTCAGCCAAGTGGAAGCTAAATTGGCTAGTCATTCATATGTATATTAGGTTGTTACCTGGGAATTCTGGAGGGAGGGGAGTGGGGGTGTGTGATTGAGGGGGTGGGGGAGCTGCTAAAAGCTGTGCACTTTTGTGTTTCATCTTGATGCATTCTCAATCATCCAGGGAAATAAATCTCCAAAAGTCACCAACTTGGAGTGTTTCAGTTTGCCATCTTAGGGAGAAATCAACACACCGTCTAAGAAGTTTTTGCGCAAGTGAAAGCGATGTGAAAAAATTGTCCGTGGTAACATTTCTGCCCTTGTCTAGGAATGGTTCCATCAGCCTCATTACTACATTTTCAGAAAGTCTCTCCCCAGTGGGACGATTGGGGTCCTTGCCAAGATATGGGAAGACATTGCAAATGTACTTGGATTTTAGGTCGCAAGCCACCCAAAACTTGATCCCAAACTTGTCAGGTTTACTTGCAATATACTGCAGGAAACAGCACCGAGTCTTTGATGGGAAAAGCTGTTCATCAACGGTGATATGTAGACCAGGGTTGTAGCACGTGATGCAGTTGGTGACAAATGATCCCCACACACTGGAAATTGCAGCGAACATGATTGACATGGCAGCACTGAATGCTCATGTGCTGTATCAAGCATGCACCGGGACGAAGGAAAGACGGGTGGACTTCCTGGTGGAGCTTGCAAGAGAGTTGGCTCACTCTCATGTAGCTGCGAAGAAGGCAAGAAAAGAACAGTTGCTTTGGACACAACCCTCCACACCTAGCCCTGGAAAAAGAGCCATGTGCAAATGCAAGAACAATCATGCCACTGTGCGATGTGTTCACTGCTACAGACACATGTGGTAAATGCAGACTACAGATACCATGGCAGTGCCAGGATTGTGAGTGATTGCTGAAAATGTTGAAATGTACTCACTCACTTTTTATTATTATTTGTAAATATGTGTACAAATGGTTGGTTTTTTGTACTGTTTTTATCAATAAATCTCAGCAACAAAGGACATACACCCATGTGTGTTGATTTCTCCCTAAGATGGCAAACTGAAACACTCCAAGTTGGTGACTTTTGGAGATTTGTTTCCCTGGATGATTGAGAATGCATCAAGATGAAACACAAAAGGAAGTGCACAGCTTTTAGCAGCTCCCCCACCCCCTCAATCACACACCCCCACTCCCCTCCTTCCAGAATTCCCAGGTAACAACCTAATATACATATGAATGACTAGCCAATTTAGCTTCCACTTGGCTGAAGCTAAAGCTTAGCTAAAAGCCTACCAGCCATTTGGCTGCTCTCCGGGTTTTATAGGTAGAAAGGTAAAAGCCTGGGGATGCATGTGTTAAAAACACAGGTTACACTAAGTAAATGTTTCTGCATGCATCTCAGTCATCGATTTATATTAATTCTACTCCTCAGAGTTTGGATCATGTGTTTACTGCTGTTCAACAGCCTTCAACACTATCAGAACAACATCACACAACCACTTCAGAACCTTCAGAGGTCAGTCGTGCTTGGTCTTTCTTACCCTCGTGCCTTGGCAGGCCTTATTCTGGCTGTAGACCTTTTGCTGAGCTCTCTTGTCCAGTTTGGTCCAAAGGGCTTTGACTTTCCAGGTGCTGACTGCCGCCTTCAGTGAGTTATAGAAATTGCTGTGGTCCAGTGGATCCAGCTCCAACTGCCTGCAGAGGATGCTGAAAGCCTGCAGAGTCCCTTTACAGGTAGATGCCTGGACAAAGTTCTCAAATAGCTGGCTGGCCTGAGCCGTACGCTCATCCTCTTTCTCACCCATCTGCCCAGTTGATGACCGGTGTGTCCACTCTCCTTTAATCATTTTCTTCCACCTTTGCTCTCTCGCTTTTTTTAATCCTCTCCTTCCACACAGTCAGCACGGGACTCCCAGCATTTGTGCAGTGTTCAGCTGAATAAAAGAAAACAGATTTTTTAGAAACAGACACAGGGGAAGAAGACCAAGAACTTGTTACAGAGTTCACAGAAGTAAATCTGTCAGCGAGGGAAAGGTGAGATTATCATTTGGTGCAAAGTCAGCAAACTAAAGTTTTGTTTTGTTCCCCAGGTTTAGCTGGATATTCTATATAGAGAGTTTTAATGTCCTGGTGATTTCTGAAATTAAAGTCAATTTAGATACAATTTTAAAATAAATGCACAAATAACCGCCAGGAAAGACTTCAATATTTGTCAAAGGTGACGAGATTACTTTGTTATAATAATTACAAAAAGATGAGGCGCTTATGCCCTGCTCCGTTCTGGTCATGTTTGCGACTGCAGTGACATCTTTCAAGTATTCATTTTGCATCGCTGTCTGGAAACACCCTTGTAGTTCCTGCAAGGTCACGTTTCAAACGTAAATTGCAGAGGTCAGCATGTTGTCTCATATAGCCAGAGTGTCATGTCCTGCATTCTGTGTGAGGTATCCGGGGACTAGCACTGCTTTACCAATACATCCCTGTACAGGCCTACACATCCACCTCCAGCCAACGACAAGCCTGTGGAGTTCAAACAGTCTTAATAAGCTGAACATAGTTTTTGTCCACTGTGCAACAAAGATATTTGCCCCGACTACCTGATAGGATTATGACCCCATGTGCATTTGGAGGGTTCAGCTGAGCAGTCATGGGAGCAGCTCAAACCCTGTAGCTGCAGAAATACAGAGAAAACACTTTCACAGTTATAATTATGTGCCAGCAGCAACTCAGGGAGGCTCAAAATGTGGAAAAAGCAAAAGCTAAGGAAGAATACATCACTTCTTCTAAACCGTGCAAACTGATTTATGTTCATAACTAAGAGCTCATGAAGATGACGACCAAATATCAAGATAGCAGCACTTCTCTGCTGAGTATTTATCCTGAGACAGTTCGTTCCATAAGAGATGTTATAAGTATAGTCTGCACATGTCAAGTCTGGACATCCTGTCCCAAATCCATGAGTCTCTATTGTTGAAGTCAACAGTCGCATCATAAAAGCATTGATAGCTGCACTATTCAATTCTTTAAGGATGGATTATGTGAATATTAACAACTTAATCCCAAAGTTTGAAGAACATTCATCCACCCTGTAAAAGCTTATAAACGGCTTTCTGGGAAATGCTTCTCAACTCATTTCTCACAACCTGACCAATTAATCACCACAAAATGTTCCTATTCAGGAAAGTAAACACCCACCTTGTCACTGTCGATGTAAATGCAACGCTGAAAGAAAGCAGCCTCTAAATTTGTCATGTACATGTACTGTTCAGCTGGTGGATGTTCATGTTAAACATGGAGAGTTTCAGATTACTAGGTCAGCGAATGCAAAACTAGTTCCTGTGATCCAAAGGCTCAGGTTTTAAACCGAGCGCTCTGACAGTTTCCCAGTAGTTTCGTTTTTTTAATTTCAGGAGTTCAAGAATCAAAATACGAAGCTTGAAAATAAGATTAATGATATTTTCACTTTAATATCTCAGTCATTAATACTGGACCTTTGTTTTTGATGTCACACTTTTCTTTGCTTTTTAAATAAATGATTAATAAGTCTAATGTTCAGTGAGACATAGGCTCATACTGCCTTTAGTTAACATGTACTTGCCTTCACTTTTGGCGATTCCAGTGCTTTGAGGGCCAAAAGTCGTCAAATGTCACAACATTTGACAGTTAAATTCTACGCTTCAGCTGATTTCTCTGCATACATAACACTTCCAAGCATGCACACCACATTCACTTCAACTGTTTGACATTTCAAATGACAAGACATCTGGCTGAGAATCCCTACTGCTGACTAGTGCATTCAGCAAAGCACCACGGGAACATCAGCATGAGTATAAATCCTCAAAACAGTACTAGTCACTTGCTTAAGATATGTCATTGACCCTAAATTAAGCTTCCCTCATCTCCACAACTACATCCCTACTATTAGGCAAGTGGCCAGCACCAGTGGATGAAAGCATGAGCAGGACCGACTCACAGGATCCAACAGTACATGCACTCAAGTACTTACAGGTAATGTTTTAATGTACTTGTATTTCTACGTCTACTGAATCATATTTTGCCATGCAAATGTTGTGCTTCGTACTATTTAGATGCCTGGTAACTCTTTATTTTCTTTATTTAACTGTTAAGTAAAGATTCTAAATACTCATTTAACAACTATTCAGTGTTTAACTCTTGTATTACTTGCTGTGTAATTCCATCTGTATGAGGGCACAGGGTTGAAATCAGCTTTTCAGACTTCCTGTGGGCCCCATCGCTTTTCTGTTAGTCCTCCATTGGCCACGCCATGACACCCCCGACTCTGTTATGTTTGTTGGAACGTGCTTTGGAGCTGCTCGGCTGAATAGACCATCTTAAATTACCCCAAACATCTTTTTTTGCACTACTTCCTCCACAACAAACTGTAATACGCAATTATCTCTAGCTTCAATCTCTACTCTTTAAATAAAAGTTTAAACGTTTCAGAATTTTACTTTGCTTAATACCTCCTTGTATATGCTTCGACTCAGTAACTTCCTTAATATTAAAAAGTATTTTTTATTCTATACGTCTCAAACTATCCCCAAAAACAGGCTTCCGTGTTATTTGAAGCCAAAGCCAAACCATTTCCTGGATAACATCTCTGTCAAAGTATCACATCCCAATCGCTGGAAGCCTCTCAGCATCACTGTTACAGTCATGGAATCTGCTTTCCTGGAGGAGCTGCGAGAGGGATCGCATTTCTTTCATCTACAGACGGGAGCCGACGTGCGCGCTTACGCACGCAGCACACGGCATCCAAAAGACCTGAAACAGAATCGCATGAAAATCTGTGTTTGTACAGGAGAGTGTGCGTCACGGCAAGGGATGTGCATGCAGCAGAACACCTGGTGGGGCCTTCACTTTGTGCCAGTCACATTCCCCACACTCCGCAAGAAAGACAGACCTTCCCTTTAAATCCTTGAGTGGCCCAAAGGGGGGCTCAGGTCTCTGCTACCGAACAGTTTGGCAGCAGACAGTAGCGTCTCAATTACTATTCCTCCCCCGAAACACTCACACATGCTTATTTTAGACCCTTCGTGCCATTTTAATGGAGAAAGTTTTCTAAAGCTTTGTTGCCGGTTTTCCCATCTAATTGAAATAATACATGAATGCATTTAGCAGTTTGCCTAGCAAAACACCCATACTAGTTTCACATTTAAGCTCCCTTCCATATCAATTCTAAAGGAAACTTGAGACACGGCTCAGAGCAAATAAAATTAAAAAAATAAAAAATATCGAGGAATGTGTTTGGAAACTGCGTCCTGAAAACAGCACGGAAGCCAACTGTTCTACTTGCAGCTCCCACTGACCAGCTGGGTCAGGAGAAAAATATAGTAATGTGTGTGTTGAGATACATGTTAAAGGCATGTGTATGTGCACTTGTGCAAACTACAGAAAGGAAATGTGCGTTTAAAGAGTTTCTTTGAGACAAAAGAACCGGCTGCATCTAAAGGCTCCATGTCAGATTTTGTTTTTTTTATCCTTATCTCTAGATGATGTCAATGACAGTGGTATTCCTATCATAACTATCTAAGGAACACAGCACTGACTGTGCATAGTACCCCACCCAGCAGGCTCCGTTTACAGGCAGCAGCCAGTTAGAAGACAGGTGGCTTAAAGGGAGCTTAAAACAGCTCGTTTCAGACTCAGGGTGAACTGAGAGACTGCACCAATGACCAAAGTAAGAGAAAGATTATTTTTAAGTTAATTTAGTACAAACTAAGCATACATAGAAAGAAAATACAAATCTAAAATGAATTTAAAAGCCATTTTCTACTTTTCAAACTGGTTTTGTAGGTCAGGGTTGACTCAGCGTGTGAACGTGTGTGTTGGGGGAATCTGTTTAATGTAATACTATCCCTCTTTGAGCCTCTGCTTAGTTAGCAGTTGATATCGGAGAGACGTCACAGTTTATTTTTTTCCACACCATGTGGACAGAACCTAAATAATTTGAGCTGCACTTGTCAAAGTGGGTTAAATGTCTTGATGCATGCTCAATCATCCAGGTAAGGAAACCCCAAAGCGTTGATTCTGTTCATGTGAATGGCAAAGCACAATCAAAGCTAAACAACAATTTGTTTCATTCACAAATAAAAAGACTATTTTGCATGATTACCTTGTTCCAGGCTTTACTATATACTTCAGATAAAAAACTATATGCTTTTACTATAACCATTGTTTCTTAAAGTAATGGAAAAACACTAAATGCATCCTATAAACACTTCATCGTGGCTCTTTGCACTGATTGTTCTGTATGTTAATGAATGCACAAAGTCAATACCTGTGGAGACTATTTCAGGCATAAAATAAATATATATCCAGAGGTTGTCCATTACATTAAATGGGCTGAGATGGCTCTGTAACGACACTTAAAGTGAGCACAGAGAAGGCCTGAGGGAATCTGTGTGGTTAAAAATCAAGGGCTTCCCTTCACTTAGTACTTATCTGAATCTTGTCTTTCAAGAAAAGCTGTTGCAGCATTATAAATCTTGACAGCAAGCTATATCAGCTGCTTTCAAAGTGACACACCCAGACAACACCCAGGGTTTGGGATTCCCAAATCCTTCACATCTCCAGGAAGTCAAAGGAGGTCAGAAATCAGAGCAAGTTTAGAGCTACGTCTGTTTACCTGATTGCAAACTGCACAAGATAACAAGTCCCTTAGTTACAAAGAACTGGAGCGTACAGGTGACAAGCAGAGCAGGAGAAATGTGTCCCTGGACTTCAAACAAAGCAACACTTCAGTCACAATGACAACACATCATTACCCATTATAACTGCACTTGCTGACTCTCAGTTTTCCTTTGTATCCTTTGGAAAACGTGTGATCTGTAACACTTCTCAGTTCATTTAAAACAATACAGAGTACACATTGCTCTTTCCCATGTGACTGATACCACGATCTCTGGTACAA